TCGTCGGTTGGAGCATACTGCAACCCTATCAAAATTTTCTCCAAGCTGAGCCTTAATACCCTAGCCTTGGGGTTTTTGAGGGTGGAAAAAAAGACCTCCACTCGTGGTTTTTTGGTATGAGGGAAAGGCATTTGTGCAGATGTTGATGACAGATCTTGACCAACCCTAACCTTATTTTTTAGGCTATGAGAGAGCGATGTAATAAAGTATTGACAACTTTGCCTCTCTCACGAGATGGGATCCCAAGTTAATTTTTTTTTTGCCTTTTTAAGCTTGGGGAAGTGTTGGTACAGCTTGGAGACAAAGTCATCGTTGCTAGCTATCTTTTCAAAATCAAGCTAACAGTTAGATAAAATCAAGTTAAAATAAAATCCTATGAGGTTACTTTAAACCTAACCCCAGTACTTTATCTTGTTTATTATGTCAAGAAAGGTCAGCTCGTGGGCATTAATGACAAGCTTCCTTTATGAGTATACTTTAAAATTTTATCCCTATGTGATAGATTCAAGATGGAGAAAGCTATTGGTGCATCCATAAAAGCGTCGAGTGTACTTTTTATCTTTTAAGCCTCAACTTCGAGAACAGCCTTAACCCTGGGCCACCATTTTTATTTATTTTTTGCTTATCAAGGTAAAAAAAAAGCAGCTTTCAATTTTTTATTGAGCTCGACAATCAACAAATAATTTTTTATTAGGCCAAGCTATTATATAGTATCACCTATTATCGTTGGGGTGCTTTTTAAAAGAAAATAATTTTTTAAATAGGGAAAAAGAATAAAAAATGTTTAAATGCTAACAAAAAAAGATGAAAGCAAGTATGTACCGCCCAGAGTTAGGAATGAGCTAAGTGACAGTTAAATTATAAGAATTAAAAATCAAAACAAATAAAAAAATGAAGTGAAAACCTCATACTAGCCACAAAAGAATCCTAATATACAAAAAGTTGATGTGGTTCCAGTCTATCAATGACCCGGTTTGAGGAGTTCAGTATTATTATACTATACCCTTCTCTGAAAATAAGAAAAATCATCACCAGAGTGTGAACGTAATGAGCTAAACACATGCTATGATAGTTTTAAAAAATTATCATGCCTTTTAATTGGCTCATCACGTCCTTAGAGATCAAGCTGAGGTCATAAAAAGTATCTACAGAGACTTCAACTAGTTCATCTTGCTCTACAGGATTTTTTTCCTCGCTGCCACTTTTCTTGGCCAAGGTACTCCCTTTTCTTATTCCTTATTGGAACCGTTCTCCTTAAAATCTTCATTATCAAAAGACTTTGACTCATGAAGAGGATTAGGATTCCAAAGTGAAACTATGGCTGAGAGCAACTCAACTTTGAGGGAAAAAGGGCAAGGTGTAAACCTCTCAGGAGAAGAAGAGATCTCAATAAGAATTGACTAGGTTGGAATGGTAATGACCATGAGAGCATTGATGGGGGAAAGAGTAAAAGTAAAAAAAAAATCGATATGGCCAAACCAAAAAAAAGAAAACAGTCGAAGATGAAAGAAGGTCAGCCATAGAAGATGGATTGACCTGAGAGACAAATAAAGGTAATGGATTTTGTAGGTCGAAATTTATTTGAGCATATAGCTCTTCTATGTTCAAGACCCATTCTCCTATTATCCGAGCATTTTTTTCGTTTTACCACTATCTTTCCTTAGACATTAGATTAAACCAGAATGTCATATTCTCACAATTATGATTCCTGATGAATGTGGAATCAAATGTCATCGTCTTGCCTACACTAACCTCCCTTAGATTCTACCCGATAATTTTTAGCCTCTTCAGAACTTACACTAGAAAACATAGTTAATAATACATATCGAAAAAAATGTAGAAAAAATCTAAGGCCAAAAAGCTTTTAAGGTCGAAAAGTTCAAAACATATCAAAAGCAAAGAAACTAGAAAGGTGAAAAATTGGAATCCCAACATCCTTTTATATTGCAGCACAACAGATTAGAGAAATGGCACAGATCATACCACATGTTAGAGTGAAAAAGGGCAGACGTCTTTTCGTCTTCCCTGTCCAAAATTTTTCACTCAAACTACATTTCTTTTTATTTAATGCTGTCAGACCAGCCAGACTGGATGAATCTTAGCTCGAACTAGCCAAATTGGACAACTCCCCAGAATGGATCGGATGATTAGCTCGTCGCTAGAGTTTAAAAGTAAAGGCTCAAACTTAAACTCTTGAAATAAAACATAAGTCTTACATCAATTAGACGAGCCCTACCACTAATTTAAAATCACTTTGAGCAATTTACACATTGGCAACCTTCAAGTTAACCATGCACTTAGCTCAAGGCATACACGTAAGATTAGATCCTCATCAGATCAACCGAGGTTCAAGATTATTTATCTCCCGATACTAACCTTCTCTATGATGTTGGTCTCGAAGAATCAAATTTCACATTATTTCCTTTTTTCCCTTACCCTACACCGAATGTATAGATCAAACATCTAACAACCTGATACTCATATTGCTTGGCATAGGGATAAAATGTTAGGGGCATTTAGTGGTCAAAAAGGCATGGTGATCTTTTTCTTTGTTATAAGCCTTTAATAGACAATTAGAGATATTTTTATCATTTATGCGACTTGATATGTCAGGTCAGTCTGACATATTTAGTGTCACATCAGCTCAACACTTTCATTATTTTTCTCTTATGGTCCCCTACTGCTCACCTATAAACATGAAGGTCCAGACACCACTAAAGTAAGTTGATCCTAGACCCATATCGTCCTTTCTACTTCTTTCCCAACCTTATTCTGTCTGACTTGTGCATTAGAATGTAAACGCAGAGAACACACCTAACCTTTATCTCTCATTGCCCTTCTCTTCTATTTTTTTAAGAATGTTTGGAGGTCAAGCTCAGCACAAATACTTGGATTTGAAATGATAAAACTTTGAATTTTTTTTTTAGTTATATTTGCTTTTTTAACTTAAATGTAGATGTTATTTGTTTATATATTTTTCAATCTCTTTCTGATAATATTATATTTGTAATTTGTTTAATGCATTTTAGTCATTGTCATTTCTGTCATTTCAAGTCTTTTGAAATTTTTGTCATAGATGTTAGTTACTGAATAGGATACTCTTGTTTATGAAGATGAAAGTACGGTGGTTTCGCTAATTTTTCGTCTTTTAATGTTGTTGATGTTGTCGAAGAAGGTGCAAAAGTTTCTAAAAAGAAGATAAGTTTTAAAAAAGTAGATAAGTCTTTAGCAAATCAAAAAAACCAATTAAACTGACCAACTAAAGTCAGTTTGATTTATGTCCATTTTTAATATTTTAATCAATTTATTTAATTTTTGTATAAATAAAATCTGTTAAGTTAGTTTTTAAATTTTTAAAATTGAATTAATCGAATGAATCGTTTGCTCATCTCTAATTATTTGATTTTTTATAATCATATGGAATGATGTCGTTTTGCATTTAAAAAGACAAAAAAAATAATGCATAGCAGGAGAGGCACTCTAGTATACAGGAAAATAATCTTGAATTCCATGTCGACACATGTCATTTTTTTATTTTTTATTTAATTTTTTAGTTTAACAACAATAAATAAAAAAACATTAAAAAAATCTACATATATATATATATATTAATCTATACTACAATAGATTAAAAGAATTTCATAAAGATGAATGTTTGACATCTGTTGGGTATTTCGATTTGAGTTTTAAATCATTATTTATATTCTATGTAAAGTATTTATATGAGCTTTCCAAATGATTTTATTGGATTGAATAAGCACCAATGGGCTTTCCAAATGATACTTGGACCCTTATTTATATTCCATTCCAGCAAACTACACCCAATTTTTAATTCTCTTAATTAATAGAACAAAAAAATTATTACATATAAATAAGATTCATGATTTATAGCAGTGTTTAAGTATCAAACAATTTATATTTTTCTTATAATAAAATAATTAATTTTATTTTGTTGTTTCTTTTAATGATAGTGCAATTTTTTTTGTATTAGTTGATTTTTTTTCATTGCTTTCCAAAATTCAAATAGTTATTTCACTTCTTAATTTATTATTAGTATATTTTTAAGAAACAACTTATATCAATGTAAAATTAAAAAATTTTACATCTTTTTCTAAACATTATTCCAATATATCCCAAGAATGGAAAAGACAAACCAAATAATAATAATAATAATAATAATAATTTAATTTCATCCATTAAATTTATTAAAATCAATAATAAAATAATATAAAACTTTTTATTTTACACTACTATAAAATTGATCCATTCTCTTTTTTTCACATAAATGTAAATAAAATTTAATTCATAAACTTTTATTAAAAATTTCATAATTATTTATAACTTTGATTATTGGCCTTCACTTTTTTCTTGTTGGCCAAAAATGAAATCGTTGAATAATAACCTTTGCGCGTGGTTGGAAGTAGGGCTGTAAACGAGCCGAGCCGAGCCGAGTAGTGAGAAGCTCGAGCTCGAGCTCGACTCACAACTCCGGGCTCGATACTCGGCTCGAGCTCGATCGAGTTTTATTTTTCAAGCTCGAGCTCGATTCGTGATCGAATTCGAGCAACTCGAGCTCGCTCGATTAAGCTCGATTAATATGTAAAAATAAGCTCGATTCGTATACTTGACAAGAGTTCGATTATTCATGCTCGAACTCGAACTCGAACTCGGATTTGAAATATTTTATTAATTAAAAAAAATAAAAATATATTTAAATATAAAAGCTCGATTAGGCTCGCGAGCTACTCGAATCAGATATAAGAATACTCGAATTCGGCTCGATCGGTAAGTCGAGCTACTCGAGCTCGAGTTCGACTCGACAATAATCGAATCGAATTCGAGTTTTTTTCGAATCGAACCCGAGTAACTTGCGAGTACTAATGTATCATTTACACCCCTAGTTGGAAGGGGCTGCGGATACATGGTTTAGTGGAATCTCGGATTTAGGCCTCCAAGGGCACAGAAGGACGCAGGCAATTACTAATTCTCTAGGTAATTTTTTCTGTGCAGACACTGAAATGTAATTTTATTTCTACTAAAGGCCCTTTACAAGATTAAGACAGAAAGAAAAAATGTAAAAAGGTAAAAATCATGAAGACCTGAACAAGACTGGCTGGTGAAGAAGCGAAACGCTAATCATAAATTTTTAAAACTTTGTTACAGCCGATCCGCTCTCAGCTCTAACAGTCAACTCTTCCTCCTAGATCTCCAATTAAGGTAACGCTTACTTTTCCTCATCTGATTCCGTTATTAATGGTAATGTTTACTTTTCCTCATCTGATTCCGTTATTAATGCTTTCCCAGCAAAAGTAAGAAAATAGTGAAATATTTTGAATTCGATTCGATGCCTATTTTAATCCATTTTCAACTATTTTCTAATTTAAGTTAAATTTTCATTAAATTATGTTACTGTTTTTAGGTTCTTCATGCTTGGCAAAGTCTTGATTCAGGATTCCACTAAAGCATCATGGTATTATTTCCCAAGAAATTTCTTTTTTTTTTTTTTGTTATTTTACTTTCTCCGAAGAATCTTTATATATGAAAACTTGTTTTTTGAATTTTTTTTAAAAATCTTGTACAGAATTACCTAGTTGGAGCTTTCAAGCCGCCATGTAATGTTTTCATTTCATTTGCAGATGGAAGAAGCCGTAAGCAGGTATATCTTCCTTCGAATCGCTAGTGTTTTTCTCTTTTCTTTTTCTTTTTTTTCACTCAAAAAAATGGATAAAATTTTAGGTAAAGCTAAAAATGCACGATTCTACCTTTTTTATACAACGACATGTTAGAATTGATGTTGTGTCGTAGTTGTTTTTCATCAATTATGATTTTGCTTTACACTATCTGCTTTACTTTTTGGTAATTTTGCAAGTAGACTTGGCTATTTGTGTGTTCTATCATGCAAAATATTAAGATTCGTGTATTCATGCTGTGTTTTACATGAAACTTGTGTGTCATAATTTGTATCAATACGAAAACATAAAATGTGTTTTTTTGGTTTTGTTAAACCCATATATAATTATTGCTAAAATTTTAAACCATGTCACCTTTGTGCCCTTTATTTGTATCGTACTCGTGTCGTGTTTGAGATTGTCAGGTTTATTTGCAAGGAAGCTGTAAACTACAATTACACAGAGATATAAACTTTCCAAAACTGCTCGAGAATAAAGTTGAGATCCAAGTAACTGAAGTTCATTGCAAATTTGTTTCACTGTTTGTTTGGTGTGCAGAAATTTGCATATATAGTATGTAATTTTGTTGCTTTTGAACTCATTTACTTCTCCCCCCTCCCCTTTTTCTATTTCCAAATGTGGTCAACTTTGGTCAACAGTTTTGGTCTTGAGTTTTAGATGAGATGCTTTACTTTTATTTCTGCTTGTTGTTTGGCATTTTGTCTTCAAGTATACTCTTTTTACAACAATGTTTTTGTAGGTTCCACTAAAGAAGGAAAATGGGAAAACAGTTATGGTTGCTCTCTTTCAGAGCCAAGAAAATATTGTAGGAGAGGTACTATTTTCTCGTGTTGCCATTTTGAAACTTATGATTGACTTTATATGCTCAGTATATCCAAGCCATTTTTATTATTATTTACAGTAAATACTGTATGAGTGATTTGATTGTTTATTACTGATACTTCAGGTAGTTATAGAACCAATACATGGGAAGAAGGTTGAACATAATGGTGTTAAAATTGAGCTCCTTGGTCAGATAGGTGTGCTTCATTTGCTTTTTGTCTTTCATTTTAGGTCTGTCATGTGACTATTCTATTTGATGAGCATATGTATATAGCTTCTATCACATGCCTTGTTAATCTTTAAAAGTTACATATAGTTTAGCTTGAGTCAATCTATAATCCTGCTTACTATTATGTTGTTTTTCTCTGTGTTATAGTTGAGTCTGTTCTGTACTTATAAGCTGTTTTCTGTATTGGTTCTTGGTTGCCAGAGTTTGTCAATAATTTGTAATGTTGGAAAGGATGATCTCTGTATGCAGCATGATGACACTATACCTGGACCGTGACATTTTTTTTCTTCTTTGCAGAATTGTATTTTGATAGAGGCAACTTCTATGACTTTACCTCTCTTGGTGAGTTTATTTGACCATAAAAGAAAAGGCTTAAGAAGTCTTTAATTTAAGCAGCAGTTTTATGCATCCTTACAAGTTTTACCATTTGTTTTTCATGTGGCCCTTTCCCCTCTCCTGTCTCCCTTCTCCTTGTTGGTTTGAGTGGCATTGCATGGGACATTAATGCTATTTTTTGGTGGGGAAGATGGGAGAAAGGGGGAAGGATGGAGTATTTTTAATCTCATGTTATGATTCATAACAATATGTGCTATTTTGTAGCTCAACTATTAGATTAAAACTTATTCTTTCCTTTCCCCTTTCTTTCCATCCTACCAAGCGAAGTGTAAATATCTGTTGCTCCTCTGTTAGTTATAATGGTAAATTGCCTCTAGGTTTGCCCTAATTTTCACTCTTTGCTCTGCAGTTCGTGAACTTGACATTCCTGGTGAATTATATGAAAGAAAAACGTACCCATTTGAATTTTCTACAGTGGAGATGCCATATGAGTCATATAATGGAGTCAATGTTAGGCTTAGGTAGGCTATCCATTTCATTTCCTAGTTGATTTTTATGATAAACTTTTGATGCATCTGGAAACGATCCTTTTTGCAAGCAATATCCTCTTTTCAATGTTACTGTGCTTATTTGGGTTATCTCTGTCATACTGGAGTGTGAAGGAAATAAGCATACGTTTGGTTATTTTAGCTTTGTTGATGGTTACTCATGCTTTCACTAGTGTCTAGTTTTCCTTTTGGGATTCAATTTATCGTACATGATTGTCATTAAGTTGAGAGATTATCAGCATTTACTGACACAATATGTGCAATGATATGGTGAGCAAGGATCCATGAAAATAGGATATGAACAAAAAACTGATCCGTCTACACTTCATTGCAAACTTGTAGGTATATTCTGAAAGTGACAATCAGCAGAAACTTTGTCAGCAACATAGTGGAGTGCCAAGATTTTGTGGTAATGTATTTTGTATAAGCACTAAATGGAACTATTATGCTATTCTATTTGAACATGTTATTTGGATTGCTATGACATTATTGTCGTATTATCATAGTTTATCTACCTCCTTTTAACTTTTGAATATTTATGTACAACTTGACTCAGATTATGTGAGAGAGATATTATATTACTTGGTTCAGTTTTTTAATTCAACTGCCCTAGAAGTTAATGTTATGCACTTTCAATGTCTAGCTTTCTTGATCTTTGGAGAAAAGAAGACAATTGGTTGTATTTGTTTGATAGACTGTTATACATGAGCTATGCTTACATTTTTCAAATAGTAAGCTGGCTGAGGCTGGGTGGGAAGGTGTGTTACCACTGATAGTGTTTCATCGTGCTTTACACTTTTTACAAGTGCTTCCATTATTTCTTCTCTATTTTTTGGTTGATTAGTTATGCTGACATATCTTTCAGAAGAGTGATGACCATAGGCTTTCACAAGCAGTGAGTAGCACTTTGGAAGCTCATGTTATGTGGTTGGAGAATGAATTGAATCATGTGTAAGAGGACTTAGTACTTGTAAAAGAACGGATGGTTTTGGAGGTGGGAGTTCATAAGAGTGTTACACCTATATGTTCCAAATAAAAAGAGTGTGCATGTAAAGGAATTTATGAGGTCTGTATGAGTTTTTAAAATATTTGAGAATGAGGAAGTTTTTCTTTTATCATGAGGATGGCTCAACACTCCAGAATCTGAAATTGCTAGGTCTAGGCAGTTTCAGAGATGCAGAGCCTTACTGCTATGCAAAGATGCTGTTCTGCACCCATGACTTCCAGGTCAGGATGGAACAACCTTACCATCACTTCAAAACTTGCTTTCACTTAAAGGATTGATATGAGGTGATAGACTGGTTGTCATGGAGTGACCCCTTGTTGTTGGAAGGCTTCTTAATACTAATCAACTAAGAGCAGATTTGACAAAAGTATAATAGGCATCTTCTTGGTTTTGAGAGAGAATAAGAAAGAGAATAAGGAATCACATTATGAAATGGTACAGTGGGAATTTGATTGTCCTTAAAGATGTTGACTCTGGAGTTCTTGTTAAATATCCTGAGTCCACTAAGACTGGTTTCTTTGTTATCATTTATCTAAAGAATTTATTCCTATCCATAATCTTAAGTTTCTTGGACAGAATTCTTTGTAATAATCATTGTCAAAATAAATGCAAATCTTTGATTCTTGTGCTGACTTGAATAGAATATATTAGAATTTTCAAGCATCATTTTGCTTGCATGTGATTAATAGAAATAAATAGATGAATCATAATGCTCTAAACAATATGAATTTTGAATTTAGAAAATAAATTAAAATTATAAGCGATATAGTTAATCCATTACATAGTAATTTTGTACATGTCTTGGACTTCAAGACCTTTGACAAGAATAAGGCTGCTTAGTGTTTAATACTCTTTCACCATGTGGTGTTCATTAGGAGATATTAGTATTTGATGATCTATCCCCTTATATAGCATCTGTAAAGGTACTCAGATCTCAATTGCTGTTTCTCTTTGCTATTTCATCCTCTTAATGCCCCACCATATCAAGGTGGAAGGAGTTTCCTTTGCATCCATTTATATTTTCCTATCTTGTAAAAGTTTGCTTGTTCAGTTAGATTATGGATTAAAAGATTAAAGCAAGCAGATTGAAATTTGTTCCCTTTTTTTTTTTTTGAAAATTTTCTGCATCAGGTCCGCAACTATACACCACCTCCTTCAATCAATAACAGTATTAAGGTAAGAAAATTCCCTTTTATTTCCTGATGCTTATTTGTTTTGGGTAGCTGATGAGATCTATATTAAAAGATTTCTTTCCTTTGAAATTTACACATACTTGCGTATCAAAAGTGACTTGTCTTATTACTCCAATACAATTGCTTCATCTATTCTCATTTTGACCATATGAAATGTGCCATTTGCCTAAATTTGGGTAATTCTTATCACAACTCTTCTTACGGAGATGGTCCCTTAGTCCCTTTACAAATTACATGGTGCTATAAAATCTCCCATACTATTGCCTGATACTCCCAATGTTAACTTTTGTGAAAGTTATTGGAATTACTTTAAAACTTTAATTGTTTCCTTGGTGATTTGATGGTTAATATGATGTTACTACTCTATGCCAATTTGATGTTTTGGAATTTCATATTGACTTTGTTTGTTTGTATTGATCATTCATCTAGATGGAAGTGGGGATTGAGGATTGTCTACACATTGAATTTGAATACAGTAAAAGCAAGTACGTCAGTTAAAGTGCATGTCTCGACAGTTTGTATGAAATCCATGCAACTTAACACTAAGTTGGAGAGATGTTGATGTGTTTATATTGGATTTCAAATTTTACAGGTATCATTTGAAGGATGTCATTATTGGAAAAATATATTTTCTTCTTGTTAGAATTAAGCTAAAAAATATGGAGCTTGAGATCAGGCGTCGAGAGTCAACTGGATCAGGGCCTAATACATATGTTGAGACAGAGACCCTTGCTAAATTCGAGTTAATGGATGGTGCTGCCGTCAGAGGTACCCTAGCGAACTTCTCTATTCCACAACATATTTTGTAGCTTTATATTTTACCTTTTATATCTTAATATCACAAATTTATAATTCTAGGCTGATATCTGAGATATTCTTTGGCACATAACATTTCTATAACCATGCTTTTACAGAATGCCTCCTACTATTGGTATTTGCCTCGAGTATGTTCTATATTGATGAATTGGTTGAACAATTTACTTTATAAAACCATCTTGCATGCTAGGGTGACTGCAGTGCTGGCTTAGTACTGTACACTACAGTTGTCGGTAGACATGACTGGTACTTCATTTTCAATATTATCATTTTAGACTAAGGTTTCAAGTATCAATATTAACAGATATACTGAAGTCTGGTCCTGCAAAACTATCAGGAAAATGTTAAAAACAGAAAAGAATATTTTGATTTAAAAAAAAAAAAAGAGAAAGAATATTCTGATGTCAATTTGAAAAGAGAAAAATGGAAACAAGTTATGGCAAATTATGAACTCTATGAAAATCTAGAAGTTGATTGTTGTATATATGCACTTTTGTGCTCAAAGTATTTCAAGTAATCTTTGCTTCTTTTTTTTTTTTTTTAAATAATACTGGGATATATAATGAGCTTGTATGTAGAAAATAATAACATTATGCTGAATTTGCTTTGAATAAGATAATTTTTATGGAGTCATGTGCTTATGTGCCATATTGAGGAAATTGTACCAATGCTTTTACAGGAGAATCGATTCCCATCAGACTTTTCTTAAGTCCATATGAACTGACACCAACGTATCGTAACATCAATAACAAATTCAGCGTTAAATACTATTTGAATCTTGTTCTAGTGGACGAAGAAGATCGACGTTACTTCAAACAGCAAGAAATCACTATGTACCGGCTTCTCGAAGCCTCGTAATTTTTCTTTCAAAAGCTAGGTGAGTTCAGACATTTGAATGTGGGGAAGGATAGCAGCGTATTTATGGCACATTTAGTGGAACTCTTCTGGCTGTATGCTAAATCTCGGCCTTGATCCTCTGTAATCTGCACATTAATGATTTGATCTTTGGAGTTCATTTATTCATCAAGAACCTATGGAATGGCAAGCTTCGGCTGTTAAGGATGAATACATGCAGTTGTTTTTGGTGATGACATCATATTAGTGTCTTGGTCTTGTTTATCCATCATGTATCTGAATCTGGGTTCCATTGTTGGCTGTAGGATTGCTCAGTTGTTTCAGAAAGTTGGCTTGCATATGTTTTTTTTTTCAGTTCTTTAATCTTTGTTTATGATGAATAAAAATTGTTGTAATCCTGTTTTTGTCACCATACTAGAATTTCATGCATCACTTTTTCCGCCATTGGCTTGATTTTGTCAGTTTTTTCCTGTTTCTAGATCTGCTTATATTTGATTAGCAACAATATAATTTAACTATCATGTCATTTAATTACTTAAAATATAAAGTGTTTTTTTTTTTAACAAAAACATTATTACATGAAATAATTTGAAGGAAAGAGATTCGTGCTGATGTAAAATAAAAATATTGTGGTACAGTTCAATCTCCCACCATAAAGTGGATGGCTATCTTTAATTTACCTTTCTTCCTAAAACTTTCTTTCTTCCCAAATAAGAATTTTCCATGCCCAGAATAACAAGTGGAAATTCATGTCCATGGTAAAACGTAAACCATGGAACGTGAATAGTCTGACAAGATGAAAAGCAATCAATTACATCTTGGATAAAACAACCAAAGAGTTTAAATTTGTCCTGGATTCTTGGTTAATCTATATGTATAGGAATATGTATGTTATAAACTTGTGTTAAAACGGCTTGAATAAGTAGATTATGCAAGCAATAATCAACAAATTCCTAGTATATTATGCAAATATGCCTATGAAAACTTAATTGAAATGTCATTGAATCAACGTTGTCATCTGGTGATAGAATGTTAAACTTTTAATTGAAACAATTACATGATCTAATGATAGAATGTTAAACTTCTAGTTGATTAAATTTCTACAGTGATGAGATTCAAATCCTGATCACTCAAGTACAAACAAAATTAATTGAAATGTGGTCAAACTCATTTTCTCTTTCAAAAATGAGAGACAGAGTTATTGCAATTGCAACCATATTTATAGTCAGACACATGGTAAGCATCCAATATGCATTTGACTCCTTACCAAAAATTCAATAAATTTAAACTTTTTGTTGAATTACAAAAGAGATGATGCTCACAATATATTCCAAATATGAAAAGACTTACAATTTTTTTTTTCTCACGATTTCCGAAGGAGAAAAAAAAGTTTGATAAAGTTGCTTATATTCTTTCCAAAGAAACTACAACTATAGTATAAATTGAAGAGCAAGAAACAAAAGGAAAACAAAAGGGTTTTCTTTTTCCTTTTCAAGCATCATTAACCATTTATCTTTGACATATTAATGTCGTAGGGTAAACCAAACCACTGCATTCCATGGGACTCATCCATGCTTTCCAACACTAATAACAAGGAAAACAATCAGAAAAACCATGGCTGTAATAGCACAGGCAAAAAAAATAAAAAGAAGAAAACAATCTTGAAAACAAAATGATAAGGGAAAAAAGAACGAAGATATAGAGCAACTGAAGAACATTCACAAAACAGCATGGACAAAAGATAAAAGTCATTACACTTGGAAATATGGGCAGGCATGCGTCTACTTTACTTCTTGAATGTCCTCCTCAGTTTTCCATACAACATCTTCAAGACAGGTTGATAGGTTTTTATAGAACTGCATAAGAAAAACAGGTTGAAAGATTTTAGAACAGGCAAGAAATTGACTGCAAGTAAATTTACTGAGACTTAAAGACCACCTGACAGGTTGCTAAAAACTTTTCTTCTAGCAGTTGCATATTCATCAAACACTGTTTGAATCCTCTGATACTTGGTTTGAGCAAGCAGATTAGAGCATATGTATTTTTAAATTGAAAGCTTTGATCATAAAAAGAGAGATCTTGACCTTACTGATATAACAAACAACTTTTGTGGTGACATTATTGACATATAAGATGCTTGTGTTGCTAAGGTATGCTGCTTTAAGTGATATAATGTCATCATGTCAATCTGAGGACTTGCAGAATGAATTTTGATGCAATACACATTGTTTGCATCCGTAATTAGAATCTCATCATGCACTAAACAACCACAAATCTAACAATTACGAAAGAAAGCAAAGTCATTTGGCACTTTCCGTCGACATTTAACCAACACTGTTTGCTGGAAAAGAAGATCACTCAATTTCCATTGGCTATGAGCAAATCACTCATTAGGGGAGAATAAATTATCTACTTTGTAACAAATGCTATGGCATTACATAACTCTCATCACTAGTTTGTCCAAATTGGAAAAACAAGAAAAAGGAAAACACAATATATTTAGAAAGTGAAATGAAATTATAATGAGAGAATTAAGTGGTACCATATGGAATTCTAATGTGTCCCCTTTTGCTTTTCGCACCTCAACCATATGTAAAGAAGGTGCTACTTGAAATATCTGATTAACATAATAAAAGTTAGTTAAGTACAAAATATAAGCCATTTTTCAAAATAAAATGTTTCTGTAAGTTACCTCCGTAGCCACGTTAAGGTTTCCTTTTCTCCCAGCTTTCAAATTCTCCAGTCTCATCTACATAAAATAGTAAGAAATAAGTAAATCTGATATAGAGATTTCAATAATTACCTTTACAGCTTGTGTATGATTCGCTAACCTTATAGTTTTTCTTGTGGACATCAAACCCGAGAGGCTTTGCAGCTTCCTCAATCTTATGGATAATCTCATTAGCAGGAAATTTAGATGTAAACCTCGTTTCTCTCTTAAATCCCTGCAGAAAATAGAACCACTAAATTTTAAACATGAAACTCAATTTTAATATGAAAATTTCATTAATAGCTTATGAGCTAGTAGTTTGAAGATATTATCCATTTATATGCCACACAGCCAAACAATAGCAGCCAAAACTTGTAAACAGCCATCATAATATCAGTATCTATCTTTCTCAAGCAAAGGGGCAAAATATGTCCGCTTTTAAGTAAATAAAATGATTTTGCAACAGCCAATCCAGTTTCAGTTCATCCTCCAAAATCTTGAAGACCTTTTGATGCAATATTAGAAACACTTGATACTTTCATAATCCAACTTTATAAACTTCTAAAAACACAATTAAGAAATTAAAATCAAGAGCAAAAGGAGGCCAGATAAGTTATCAGTCTAGATAGCATAACAATGTCTGATAATACTCTATCTGGCATTGGACATACCGTGCATTTCCCTTCTAATGATAATAAAGTCATGTAAAGGAAAGATAACCACCACTCTTTGATAGTTGATATACAAAAAAAAAGTCAAGAAAAAGAAAAGCCTTTTAAAATGCAAACCTGTTCTGCATCAAACAGATTCTCAAGGTTTAACCCCTTTGACAGGGAAATTAACTCAAAAGCATTCATAGCTGTCGGTTGTTCTTCTCTCTTTTCTGTTACATGGTGCTCCTGTTACAGAACCAACAATGCAAACTTATCAAGAAAAGCATCAAATATAACAGCACTTGTGCAGTATGCAGATGTCAGTTGTTCTACAACTTTGGGAAAGACCTCATTCACCTACTTCAAAATCCTTAAAAACAGCTTCTATATCATCTAAGTTCGTATCGTTTTTCTCCTCGAACACTGGAGGTTTGTAATCCTTTTTAAACCATTCATCTTGCAAAATTTCAGGAATGGTAATGCGCTGCAACACAAGAAAGAGATAAGCACACATTAATATTATGCAAGTCAATAATTTGTTAAGGCAAATAATTTCCAGAACTTAAAGGCCAATATAAATATGCATGGCTAGATATGCGCGGGCCCAACATGCTACTCTAAGATTAAACAGTGGAGCAGTTATGCATAGTTGAAGCATCCGTTTGGCCTTAGAAAAATATGCAGGCAGTGCCCAGATGAAGATTTAAACTTAATTGCTTGATCAGTGAGAAAATTCAAAGGGCAGGATTAATTGATACTAACTCTTAGCAACTTTCACTCCTTGGTATTATTTGACCAAATCAACAATATCAAAAGTACCTTGCTTTTCTAATCTTAGTTGTAGCCAAAAACAGAGAAGAAAAGCATAATATAAACCCTTGTAGCTGAACCCACCTGGTGGGGAAAAGCTTTTTTATTTGTTTATTGTTGAAGTTAAAGAAACTAGTCTTTTATTATATATACTTGTATCTGACATTGTTATACATTGATAACATAGTTAGAGACCATCAATTTCAAATTTGGCATAGATGACCCATGTAGATAGACAGTAAAATTCATTGATGGATTTGATGAAGATTGGATCATGAAAAAAAGATATGGAGGAATGGTGCGGAGTATGAAAACCATTACATCAGGTTTAATTTATCTTTCCTTAGATTCAGACTGCCAATTGCATATCTGTCAGAGAGGGAAAGAGGAAAAAGAGATAAGAGTGGACAGAATTATACATTTTTAATATCTATTTTGCAGATTTCTTGGACTTCATCTCCCACTCTTGTGTCCACTACCAAGAAAAATGAGTTAAACTATATTGCAGAAGAAAGGGCAAAAGATAAAAGGGTAAAAGTACAGATTACAAACCTCACAGTTACATCACTAAGGAACCACGTTTCAGGATAATATGTATTACTTCACAAAATTATTGCACATGGTAAATGCACATTCAAAAAGAATTTAACCAAGACAATTGTTTGATTAGACATTGTTTTTCTTTCATGAATAGAGCTTTATTTTCATCTAGTTTTAGAAGCTTTCACTCAGAATAGTAATATACAATCTTTTATCACCTGCCATAGGAAGAGCAGATATGACACCTTCATCATACAAAGTATAGGAATCTTTCTCCCCTTTTCCTATTTGGTACACACATAATTTAGTATTGAAGCCAGAAACACATCCAGGTTTGAGAGTTAAGTATAAAACTTACCGTCATTGGGTTTGGATCCAAGATTCGAGTTATTAATTTCATTGCACTAAAAGATAGCCAAGGGGGGCAAGTGAATTCAGCTGCTGAAATCTTCACATTTGGAAAATGAGAGTGAAAAACAGGCAATGAATAACAATGGATAACTGTAACATGAAATTAGGAAAAGCTCACCTTTTTATACAGGTTCATAAGATTAGAATCATCAAAAGGCAAGTAACCTCCAAGCAACACAAAGAGTATCACGCCACACGACCAGAGGTCTGCAGTTGCCCCATCATAGCCTCTATCATTAATGACCTATATAGGAAGACAAAATTGTTATTAACCTGGGTTTCTAAGTTACAAATGCTGGACGAAAATTAGTGTGATTAAACAATTGCCCAAACCTCAGGAGCAACGTAATTTGGCGTTCCACAGGTGGTGTGAAGGAGACCATCATCCTATAAATTCAACTTTGGATTAGAAATATTTCTCAGGGTTCTAAAAGCTATCAAAGACAGATAGAGATGGAACAAGTCTTACACATTTTACGACATCAGTTACATCAAAAGTTTAAAAACCTTACACGATAACTTGATAAGTAGATAAATAACATGGATAACAGAATATCTATAATTTTGAACTAAGAATGCTAGCATGCGTTTCCTTATTCAAAAGCTTTAAGGCCATCAGGCTCAAATTCACACAGTTCATTACTTTTGTTCAACACTACTGGTTTACAATTACATACCTTTACGTACAGAGAATGATCTATGAAGAAAATTTATCTTCTCATAAAGAATAATGAACTACAAAATGAGGACAACATCTGTTGCATGCTTTAATAGTTCGACCTTAGCCAAATTATCTCACTAACCATACTGAGTTCACTCTTTTCTCATTTAGTAGTATAGATTTTCCAAATATCAGAATCTTTTCTATATTCAGACACTAGGGGCAAATAACTTGAAATGGTGATGTCTAGGAGTCACTGTTTTCTATGGCAAAACGAAGATGATCAATTCTATCACAGTTGTATCAAATAAAAATTAATCTCTTTCACATTTTTTTCTCCAAAGAGGTTAAAACTAAAACTTCCATCATATATGTTATGTGACAATTCAACATGCTCATATGGAACTTGTCCTTTCAACAACTCTGAAGGCCCTAAGGTCATATCATTTCCAATCAATTGCTAGAAGAAATAGCTTTTATCTAAACTCTCCAAGCTTTACACCGAACAAGATGCTAATAATTACATAATTCTTTATCCTTTTTGTGCTTTTTGTTTAAAAACACACTGATAAAGATGCTTCCCCTCTCCACTCATTATCACCAATATCATTAGCATTTCAACAATTTTACTTTATAAGGCCTTCACCATCACAAGATCGGGACAGAATAAACTTGAATGACTTCATAGTTCAAAGGAAAAGGTTGAAGACTCAAGAAAGCTTGAGCTTTCAGATACCAAAGTTTCATAATTACCAATCATGTGTAAGGAAAAAAAGGATATCATAATTACCCTGACTTGCTGAGACAGTGCACTCAATCCAAAGTCAGAAACTTTGAGGTTACCATAAGCATCCAATAGTAAATTTTCAGGCTGCAACAAAATCAAGAGAAAATATAAATGAACTTCATTTCCTGACAGCATAACATGCATGCATTGACACATATTTGCAAGTATAGACATATTTGTCCTTAAAGGGTGCCAAGTTAAAATACCTTCAGATCCCTATGGTAGACACCCCTGCTATGGCAATAATCAACAGCATTTACGAGCTGCTGAAAATATCTCCTTGCCTCATCCTCTCTCATCCGTCCACGATTTACCTTCAGAGTTAGAAATGGTTAAAGGCATATGGGATGTAAAGCCATGTGAAGGAAAAAAACTTTCATCTGCTAGTAGTTAGCTACAGTTAAAACAAGCTGCAAATATGTGTAGCAATGCCAATACTAGAAAACATATTAGTGCAGCTTAAGGATTAAAGAGATCCACGAGCACAAATGAGAACCAAACAGATATGCAGTCACAAGTTCATAAATTATATTGGGATGGTTGAGCTTCGATTATTTACCCAATGTGAAAGTACATGGTTGTCATTAAATAAAAAAAGGGGGGGGGGGGCATGTCCAAGATTTCACCGACTCACAATTTTGTCAAAGAGCTCTCCTCCAGTAACGAACTCCAAAACAATAAATATCTTTGTCTTGCTGCCCATCACCTGAATAAAAAACATACAAAATAATTTGAGAAATGATTAAAGCTTGCTGCTTCTTTGCATATCCTCAAAAATGACACAGAGAACATCACGAGGCATTATTATCTTAAAGAAGTTGTTACACACACCCAAAACTCTACTCCTTTTAAGTCTCAAAGAATAAGATCAGAAGGCACCATAAACCCATGTAGCAAGATCAATAGATAATGAGAAGTTCTTAGATTGGTTCCACAGAGGCATTGGAAGAGATTGGTTATTAGAAATGGATCATATATCAAAAGCATATTTAGACTGGGTGCATACTTGTGCACACAGTTCATAGATGTACATATGCAAGCTAAAAACCAAAATAAATCTTTCAGATGCCAATACTTATTTTTTCTTTTTCAAAGAATTAATGAAGATAGTAGCAAATTAAATCCAAAATTTTCATATTGATCAAGCTTGGAGAAAGAAAATGCCACCCATACTTTACTGCTAAAGAAAAAAAATTAAGAAGGGAGGCTTTGGTTCACAATAGAAGATTCTGGAAAATAGTACCAAATCCCCAACCCACTGTTGAGAAATAAAGATTATACAGTATGAACCATTAACATAGAGAAAGAGAAACCTCATATAAACGGACAACATTTGGATGTTTTATCAACTTCATTGTTGCTATTTCCCGCTTGATCTGCAAAAACAAGCAGAAAACATCTAAGAAATCTGATAGAATATCTGAACTATAGAAATTCCTTTCTTAAAATGTGATTATGGTAGTTTTGAAAAACTGTGAAAATTGCAGCATGGAGAAGGTTTTGAGCATCATTCTAAAAAAAAGGCTAAAAATCAAATTGAGAAGAAGAGATAAGCAGAGAAAGAGAATGATTCACAAGAAACCTGTTCAGCCATCTTGTGCTTGAGAACCTTGTCTTTATCAAGGATCTTAAGTGCCACAGGTTCCCCAGTCTCAGAATTTCTTGCAAACTTCACTTTAGCAAATGTCCCCTCCCCAATAGTCCTTCCCACCTCATATTTACCCACACGACGCTTAATTTTAGGTTGACTCATGCCTCTTCTTCCACTTGTTCTGCAAGCTATGAAAACCTCTTCCTGAGACAAATATCAAGACATAAATCCCAGACCAACATTTCTGTTACTCAATTTACACAACATCAATCACGAAAGAACAGACACAGAAAACCAATGCTTAAGCAAAATTAATGTTGAAAAACTTTATAGAAACGAAGGCAAAAGACAAAGTTAAAAAACAAGGTGAATATTCCATCTAAAAACTCCCTCATTACCATAGCAAAAGAACATCCTCTAGAATATGCGAAGATCAATTCAATCAGAAACTCGCTGGAAAGTCAATAAGAAGCAAGAAAACTGATTTAACTCAAAAATGGAAGGAAGATGAAAAGTAATTGACATAGAAATGCTATAATACATCAAAATAAACATGTGGTAAAGAACCAGAAAAAGGGTACATCCCAGCTAAGTAAAACAGCCAAATGATCGATTCCCTTGCAGCAGGAATCAGGCCAGTTCAGCTAAAAAAATACAACATTATTGTACCAACCTTGCATAGAATACTGAATAACTAGTAAATTGAAAAACAAATGGATTAGTACATATAATATTTCCCAAGAAAATATTTTCAAGTTCTTAATACCAAAAAATATTTAAACTAATCACTCACATTTGAGACAAAACCAAGGAAGATAATCAAAGTCTATATAAGTTTTGCTGATTCAAGAAAATCAAGCATTACCACGCAGAAAATAAATTAAGTTTGGAGCTTTATTTGATTTCACAAGCGCTGAACTGAGGCCTAAAGGTCAAGAAACATCAACCAACAGTCAAAATTTAATGTTTCTTTTAAACAAATTCAATAATGACACTACAAAGTATATAACTATGCATATACCATTAGCAATTATAATTAAATAATAAAAAAGTAGTTATACCTGAAGTGTATAACTTGAAGAAAAAGAATTATTGAAAGAGAGAGAAAAGAAAAGGTATATATACTTGAGAAGATTTGGATAAGAAGGAAAAAAAGGGTCGGTAGGAATTATGGAAAATTTGGCCTTTGAGTTAACTAAAGAGTCAACAAAGCAAAACGGCCGAATTAAGAGACTTTCTTAGATGATCATCATCTGAGCTACTCATCTGCTGCCTACAAACAGATAAACTTTTGAGTTTTTAATAACTGGCAAATTGGGATATGAGTATTCAACAATTCTTACTTCTTGGTCATTAAAAATTTAAAACTTTATAAACATTTAGGAACACGTTGAACATGTTGTTCTCGTTGGGGATGAAAAGGCAACCGTAAAACATAAATTATTGTAAGAGAAAGAGAACTCTGGCCCGTGAACCTAAAAGAGAACGAGAAGTATGGTCCACGCGTTAGACAACGCCGTGTCTCAATCAACCAATCTGAGCTGACATTAAGATTATTCATTTATTTCCTCCATGTTGTTTTAGGACAGAACTATTATTATTATTAATAATTATTCGTTTTGCGTTGAAAGGTCGTTGTTTATAACCCGACTTTAATGTTAATAAAAAATTTTAATTTTTTATTTAAAATTTTGATTTGTAAATCCAAATCAAAATTATTTTAAAAATGTGTTCTTACAATCGATTATAATTTTTTGTAGATTAAACAAATTTATTATACTCATATTTATAAAATTTTAATACTTATGTATATTTTTTAATATTTTAATTTATCATATATTTTTTAAATAATGTTAAACACTTAAAATTTTTAAATTATATTTTTCTCATTGCACTTTATTTTTAATTCAATTTGTTTATAAAATACTCATATCTTAGTTTTAAAGTTATGAATTTCATATGAAATTTTTTTTTTATGTACCATTGGAATAAGAAAATATTATCATTAAAAAATAAAATTTGAAAGTTCACTGTAACCCAAATAGTTCAAAATTAAGTAAGTTTTTAATTAAAGTTTACTTACAAACTTTGTTCACGAAGTATTTGGTTGGCATGAACATTTCTTTTCACATATGAAAAACCAGCTAAGTGTCCCTTGGCTAAAACCCAACTCATTTACTAATAAATTTGCCTATAGTAATTGATGTTTGTTGGTTGGAATGGTTAAAAATTTTGCTTATTATCTTTTTTTTTGTTTTTTTTTTTCAGAAATTATTAAAAAAAGATAATAATAAATAAAATTATAATTCATTAAAATAAACAAATAACTAAAATTTTATTTTATAAAGGTTTGTTTATGTACTAAATCCATGTTAAACAGCCAGGATTACTCTAAACTAATTTTTAAAAAAAGATAAATAATAAAAAGAGGAAACACCAAATAAGTAACAATTTCATTGTTAGATAGAGGAAAGGAATAAAAAAAATTAACTTTGTTCTTCCTTTAATAGTAGTATTACGTTTAAAAGAGGAAACTCAATTGAGTATTAACTTAAATTAAATGACATGTTTATTCAATAAAATTTTGAGTTAATTTCATAAATATATTTTTAATTAAAGTTGAAAAAAATACTCTTAAAGTTAAAAATGTAACACTTAATCATCTTATAATTTATTATATTATTTTTTTACTCAAACCTATTACTTTTTTAAAATTTTTTTCATCTGAATTTATAATTTTTTCTCTAAAAATTTAATTTTCTCTCTAAAAATAAAATTAAAAATTTTTTATATTAGAAATTATAATTTGAGGATAAAAAAAATTATAGACATTAAAATTTAGGAAGTATTTCATCACTCAATTAAGTCTCTAATTAAACAAAATTTTAAAGTTAAATACATAAGTTTTTCTCAAATAAATTCAACCAATAAAAATTAAAAATTAGATTAGAAATTAGAAAAATAAAAGAGGAAAAAATTGCTTAAATAATCAAGCTTTTCATGTGTCTTCCCAAAGAGTTTAAAAAAGGGTGAATCAAAAGGGGGCAAATGATCCACCAAAAACTAGAAGAATCTTTGAAAAAGACCAAGAAAGAAAGGGGGACGGAAGAACAAGAGCCATTTCCTTTCCAGTTCAAGCTGAAGCTAGCATTGAGACACGAACACAATTCTGTCCGCAGTCGTGGAACACGTCTCTATCAGTAAAATAATGGAATTTGCCTACTAAAAGGCTTAAAACGTTTCCTTGTTGCCGTACTTTTGTAAAGAGACAAATATTGAACGGATCAGCAGTGTCGGTGAGAGGGAATGGGAAAACCAAAGGTACTAAAAATTGAATTTGACACTTTCCCTCTCAAAACTATTATCTTTTATTTTTCAAACTAATTTAATTTTGATCATATTTATAAACAAAATTTAAAAATTTTTAAAAATAAAATTTATAAATTGAGTTTCAAATTTTTAAAAAATATTTTTTAAAATTTTAATTCAATATAATATTTTAAAAAATAATTAAAATTAAGTTAGTTTAACCAAAAAAATTAATAAAAATAATTATTTTGAGACGAAAGAAATAACTAATTTCCTTCTTGAACCTATAGGCACAAAAACAAAGATTAGTCGAATGAATTGAGAAAAACATTAATATTTTATTGTTAATTAAAGTTTGATGTCCAAAAATAAAATTTTAAATACATTAAATTCATATGAAAAATTAAAATATTAAAATTCTTTAAAAATAACTTATATTAAATTTGTATTTAATAAAAAGGGGCTTATATTAAATTTATATTTAATAAAAATATTAGAGATTTTACCGTCAATGTAATAATATAACAATTTTTAAATCTAAAATTGAATTTAAAATTTTAATATAATTGATTCATTAAATTATTTTTAAAAAATGACAAGAAATATATCTAAAATTTAAATTTGAATACATGCAATCGCTTATTTGATCTCAAATTACAAATATTTTTATACAAAAAAATAATTATATGTAAAATTCAATAATTTATCATAAAATTGTAAAATTATTCTGAGATTTGAATATTCAAAAAAATTAAAATTTCAAAAAAATTATAAAACAGAGAATTTATTAGGCTGTCCAAAAGGAGAATATTTGATTATATCGGAACACCTCCAATGTAAAGGTGGGTTCAACTTCGAACAGTTTCATTTTCCTTTTCCATTTACTCCATTTTTCCTTGTCCTTTTTTAGTTTTTATCCATCTCCCTTCATTTAACTTCTTTATAGGCTTAAATATAAAAAATCCTTAAATAAAAATTAAATAACTATTCAAACCCTTACTGTTTTATTAAAATCAATTAAACCTTCAAATGCTTATTTTTATTCAATTAAGCTTTTAAACATTTATTTTTATCCAATTAAACTTTTTTTTGTACGGAAATGAATATTGAAACTTAATCAATTTTTATCTAATAAAATTTAATTAATGAAAATACATAGTTAAAAACTTAATTGATTATAATAAATCAAATAACGCTTGAGTAATTATTTAATTTTAGTTCATAGCTCTTTCCATACTCATGCCTTCTTTTTACCATCCACCAGAACTCATCCCAGCAAGCAAACACCACCGCATCCAATCAAACACATTCCGGGTTAACGTTTGGCGATTTATGCACGCTTTAGGCAGAGAATCAGTAATTCATATGACAGGTGTCAATCTCAGAATCAAAATTCTTGCAATCAGGCAAATATGTATATATATTTTTTTTTCTGTCATTGAACAAGAACAGACTTTGGCTAACCAAACATATAATTTAGGAATCAAGGTACATGCTTTTTTTTTTCCCAGATTGCTTACCTGAATCATCTAAGATGATAAAGCACATTCTAGTGGCCCAAATACAACCCCCCCCCCCCCCCCCCGGCCTCCAAAAATAATATTGACATTGGTTCAACTTCAACCAAATCTACTACTACTACTACTACTACTACTAGTAAATAATAGGAAATAGGGCTGACCTGTCACCACGCTCCAGCAGCCGATTCACTTGATCAATATGCCCATCAATACGATTATCCAAGATCAAAGAAACCAACAACTGCTCAACATCTTTTTCTGGCACATTGAGTTCCTGAATGTTGAAGAAAGGTCATGAAAGACTTGAATGATGCATTTAAAATAATAATAATAAAAAAAAGCATATCTGGAGTTCATTACATAGAAAAATGGTCAAGCTAAAAATGTTAACTGTATTATTAGTAATAACTAAACCAAAAAAAAAAAAAAGGAATAACTGAAGAAACTGACTAGAAAGGAAAAACTGTAGCTTTCACCTTTGATATGAAAGGGATCCGGATTCTTGTATATGGTTTTATAAGCTTAAGTAGCACTTGAGTTCTGACATTCTTCAATAGATCTTCAATATAATTTCGAATGAAAGGATCATCCATGATTGTCCTTCGGTTACTCTGTGAAAGTAAAAGTTAAAAAATCAAAAGAAAACAAAAATTTCACTCTTAACAAGAAGGAAGGCAAACAGATGAGAACAACAATATATATATATATATATATATATATGAGAACGACTATTTATATATATATATATATATGAGAGGAAGAATCAACTTATATAGTGTAAAATCTTTTTAGTTTTACATTTTTTTTTAACCATTGATTTTAATATCTTCAAATGATGAGATTAAACCACTTTTTCCTATTTTTACTTGTTTCTCCAATCCCTTAAATCTATTAAAATCAATAGTTAGAAAAATGAGTAAAACTAAAAAAGTTTTACACAATGTAAATTGATCCCTCATATATATAAATATATAAATATATATATATATATATATCACAACATGCAGCAGCATTGCACAACCTTAAGGATTTTTTCAAACTCTATTATCTCATTTCGTTGATAGGCTGCTATAAGATTTGTCATCGCCAAAATCTCAGGGTCATTTTTGTACCTGCAGGAATAGCAATCAGGGGGTAGAGAGAGAGAGAGAGAGAGTATATTTAGCAGGTGGGGATATAAACAAACTTACGGCTTTGCCTCCTGACCATCAAAAGGATTAACTTCAGATTCCATCAACATATTAGCCAGAACAAGGTACCTGGAAGCGACACAACAAGATGAAAAGATCAATTTGAAAATTTATCTAATTGGGTAAAAAGACTGGATAAAGAAGTATTTATAGAAGGCATACAATGACTTATTTATAGGATAAGAGATTAATATATTTGAACTATCTCTCTTTCTGTTCACACTAGCCTTTCTTTTTATCTCTGCTCCTCTGAGATAGTTCCTCCTGATCTCACCATGTCTATCACTAATTTCTCTTTCTTTTTGCTCTCCTAGATCTCACTGACTGGGATTTTCTTCATATCTCCTCCGTATTGATTATTTTTTATACTCTGTCCTCAACCTTTTATGCCTTACTGCAGCACTTATTTATGTCTTATGTTACTTTTGGTAAAAGAACAATTTGCCTCAAAGTGGCCCCTTCAATATGTTTAGAGAAATCTTATCCATTTATACATTTGTTGTGGACCACGCTAGTGCTATAATGGGGTTAGGTCAGAAGGCTAAGAAAGAATTGCAGATAACGAGCTTCAGCTCTCATGTCAAATCTTTACCATTATAATACCGATATGAGTGAGAGAGGAAGAGGAGTATGCATAAAAAACGTAAAAAAACACATAAAGAAAAGAAAAAAAATTAGGAAACAGCAATTATACTTAAGGCATTGTATGCGTCTCTGATTCCCAGCTTCATCATAGTTCTTGAAAGCTTCAAAGAAATCTGTTGCTGCCTCAGCCCATTGACGCTCAGCCATATGCATCTTGCCACCACATTCACGGATTATTCCCATGATCCTCGGATGTGGTATTGCAGACTTGATAGCAAGTGCTTTAAGGTATAATTGCTGCATTTAATCCCATATCTCAGACACAGCTAAACAGCTATATACGACCAAAGCTAGACATACGATACAACTTTGTAAAATGACAGAAACAAGGTTGGTTTTAGGCTATCATCTAAAATAGAACAAATATCCATCAAACAGGATTAGCGACATCACATAGATCCAACTTTAAGGGCATTCCCTTTTTCCACAATAGATTGCATTAGGAGTTGCAATAGATCCAACTTTTAGGGCATTCCCTTTTTCCTCAATAGATTGCATTAGGAGTTGCAAAAGTTCATATATTGAACATATGATCCGTTTTCTGACAACTATGTCTGTACTTTAACCCTTCACAAGACTCAAAAGGGAAGTTTGTAGCATCAAACTCTATACATAGCATGACAGCCTGCATACAAGAAAAGCCTGGTTTAGAGGGAATGCTCTCTCTCTCTCTCTCTCTATCTGACCTTATATTTGGATATTACTTATACCATAACATTTCTAAGATTACATTTTGTTGAACTCTTCACACATGCTGAAAAATGAATGAAGTCATCATGGTGCAACTTAATATTCATTTCCAAATAATTTTGATATTCTTTTAACATAGGATAATAAAGAAGAAGAAGTTGGGAAGGCCAGAATTCAGTATTAACTAAGGGCAGAAAGGTAGTGGAGTATGCATGCAATTGAGGTTGAACAACAGTGAAATTTTCTGGAAATCAGAATTAAGAATTAACTAATGAAGCTTCATGGCTATGTGACAATATTATTAACCAGGATTCCAAAGAACTTTTTCAGGCTATAAGGGAATATACTTTACTAGCGCTAAGTTTGAAAGTTGATAAAATTCTAAAGAATAGCAAAAGAAAGACACAAGTCTAGACTCTTGACGCCTAAGGTTCTACAGAGTAAAGATTTCCTACCTTAGTTTATTGCTTCACACAAATCCCAGAAGAAAGTGTACTTAATATTTGGCAAACAAAACATTAGGTACGCATTCTGCTGTGTACAATACTTACTAGGAAGTTCAATGATGACAACAAAACCAATATTAACTTCCTTTCAGTTGTAGACCTTTAAAAGGGAAATATGATCGCATATGTTCCATTCTTGAACTGCCAAACATCTAACTTACGTCATTGCTGTCATTTGTTATTAATTATATCAGACATGTAATAAAATCATTCTTCTTCATCAATAAAGAGTTCTTTATCTTACCAGCTGGTTTTAAGATACTTAATGTAAATTTTCACTTTCTTGGCACATATGAGGAAGTGTAGAGAGGGAGAGATGATTAAACCATAGACCCCAATCCTCTTAAACAGGGTTAACGGCTGCTAGGCCAAATCCTAGGTTTTTCTTAACGTTACTTTTATTTTTTACTAGTAGTCTATCATTCATTTAAGAACAAGGAAAGGGGGGGGGGGAACAAATACTGAAATCAGGTTTGCAAACTTCCCCTTTTCCTTAAAGATGGTAAAAGGGGTAGATGGCATAGCATAAACAAGTAGCTGTGATTCTATTAAGAAGCAAGAAAAAACAGAATTGGAAGGAGGACAACTAATGAAATTTAGTTTGACGTTTAAGAACCATCCCCTTTCTATTAGAGATTGTAAAGGGTAGATGGCTTCAAATTCAACAAGTAGCTTTACTTCACACCTAAATCAAGAAATAAAGTATTCAACCAAGCTTCACAAAGTCCTAGGCCAGCTCAAATGGACCTATCTGTAAGTCGGTATACATATTTCATCTTAAAAGGGAAGTTAAATTACCTTGAGCTTTTTGTTGTTCTTTGTCTCAGTATACATTTGAATTTCAATTGCATATACCTCCAGAAGCTGACTTCCCTTCTTTTGATCATCTGTACCATCTTCCCTTTGACAAGATTTATGAAGCTCCTTCAAAATCTGATAGTGCAAAACATTAGAATGTACAAACATTCTGTAACATGGATTAATGAAATCATAAGGTTTTGAAAAGATACCTTGTTCATTCGCCCATACTCACCCGTATCGAACCAGATCTTGCAAAGTTTAAGATTCGTCTTAAACCAAAGTCGCTGCATGAAAAGAGAGCAATATATCACATCTTGATACAAAAACCGGACCAATGATATTGTAGATTTGATAATTCTCTAACCTCATTCTTTGCTTCTTCAAGGGCCTTCAGAGTGGTCTGATAGAATTCTTGCAGGAGAGCAAAACTTTGACTAGCTGATCCGGAAACAAAATCCATAATATTGTTTATACATTTTTCACTGTAATTTCGTGTCACTGCTGATTTGATGTATGTTAGCATCTCCCTGTAAGCGTTCATCATTTCCTTATACCTCACTAAACGGTAATAGAGCTTTACAGTTTGCTTCAGAGCTTTGAATCCCCTAGCAGAGAAAGTATGAGTACACTATTTAATATTGATATGGCTCTAATCAAATACATACTTTTTTAGTGAATGAGACAATTGTTTTAAATGGATAGATAAAACAATAACCAAAATCTGTAAAGTTTGCAAAAACTTTATTTATTTAAGGGAATTCTTTGAAAATTTGACATGAGAGGAGTTAATCCAGTGAAGAGGCAACAGACAACATATACTCTTAATAATATGGCTAGTACATGCTAAACCACAAAAGACACTCAGGGAAAAGAAAAGCAAAAGGGCATTAGTTGGAAACAATTGTAGAAAAGCTCGGTAATAACCATAATATACCCAAAAGTAACAAATCCAAATGTCAATTTCAGAGAACTCACCACTCAGCCTTCTCGGGCTCCATGCTAACCACTCCAGCAAAACCAGCAAGCGCTCCTTCAGGGTCTGTTTCTACCAAACCTTTTATCACAAAAGAAAACAAATTATTAGTAATAAAAAGTAGGAATCAATAAGATCGTCAACCAACAATATGGTTTCTAACTTCTAAGCATTTATCCGAAATGAATTGCACTCCTGAGTTCACCTCCACTGCTGCTCTACGGTGCAGGACAAGCTATTTAGGAACCCATAATTATAGGACATATCAATTATGGATTAATCAAGAGGACATAGTGAAAATGCAAACACACTCAGACATACATACATAATATGAAGCCCAGTACATGAGAAAATAAACTGACCTTAACAGAACACATACACACGCAAAGAGGTTAATAACAAGTTTAGGTTATTATTCAACCACTACGCAACAATTATAACTAAATAATTCTCAACTTTAAAGGCATAAACCCTAACAGAGCATTTCAAATATGAATCTGCAGCACTTCACAACCATATTCGAAAGGTGAGCCCTAATGCTACTCTAAGTTAATATTTAATGCATATAAAAATGTGAAGAAACAGAAATTATTTTTTTATGTAAACCTAAAACAAAGCATGATCCTAGCCACATCTAAATTGAGATTATAGAATCGTATACCAAAAAAAAAAAGGAAAGGAACCTTTGGAATTGTAATATTGATTCTCGATGTCAACGTCTTGTTCCTCAGGCTCCTCATCGGAGTACTCGAATCCATAATCCTCCATATCCGCATCTGCCCGATTCAAAAACATGTCGAATTTATCAAACACTAATAACGAAACTGAAACTTCTTTTTTCTTTAAATAAAAAGGTTAATACTACAAATTTTAAATTTGAATCAAAGAAAATCAGAGAGAAAAGGAGAGACCTGAAGCCATGATTAGCGTGATAAAATTGGCACTTTCAGTAAATTATAATCTTTTCGGAATCAAGAAAAGCGAAGGTGAAGGTGTAGATTTGCTGAAACTATAATAAATTTACCGGTAAGCAAAAACCTCTCCGCTGGCCATCGCTTAACTGTTTCGAATCGCTTTAGGTCAATTTTTACTGCTATCGTTTTAACGATAAGGGCATGTTTGTTGAAAAACTATATATTTCCAAGATCAAAAATTAATGTGCTCTATTACGTGTTTGGCAGTGTCTTGACTTGAGTGTCCAACTGTTTTGTTTGATGTGACTCACAAGTATCAATTGAATGCGTAAAATTTTCCAATAAATTTGATCAAGTTTATATTTTTTTAATTTCATCAACTTATAAAAATTACATCGCTAAATTAATTTTTTAAAATATAATTAACAGAACTTTAAACATTTATCGTATTTCAACATTTAATTCAATAAATAATATTTTTTATCCAAAAATGAAATTCAAATTTCTCATTCTCCAGAAAATTGGGCATTTACACATTTTCTTAATATTGTACATTTATAAATTGGGTATTTACACGTTCTTAATATAGTACATTCCATCACTTTTGTGATTTCTTAGCTATTATGCACTTTTTCTTTTGTTTGTTTGGGTTCTTTGATTTCATAACTGTTCACCATGGTTTACAAAAGTAAATACAATTCATCGATTACTAGTATAAAATACAAGTCATAAATTGTCTAAGTATTCCATTATAACATCTCTACAGTTCAAACTTTGAACATATATTTATAGTCTGGAAAAAATGGTGGGAATTATAAAACTTATTTTATAAAACCCACCACCCGTTAATTCTCTCCATAGACGTATTGTTTATAGTAAATCTGATAATCAAATATCCATGTCAATTCATATTTTATTTATTTTATATTAAATATGTATAAAATATAAAATTTATCATATCATAATTCGTATTAACACATCAAAATACAAAATATATATATTTTTTAATTTTTACCAAACTTATACACATTTTTTTAAAATTTTAAATCATATCACTTTTATATTTTTTTTTATCATTGTATGCTATTTCATCATGTTGCGTCTAAAATTATCAATTATAACTAGATTGTTGCTAAAAAAAGGTTGTAAAACTATATCAATAATTGAAAATGTATTGCTACAATTTTCAATTTCTCAACCGTTCTAATTTCCTATATATAGAAGAGGAGTAGAATAGCAAAATATTCCCGACCTTTTTCGACATAGCCAGCGACTGCCCAAGTCTCAGTTCGTATTTGCTGTCTAAACAAAAACAGTTACAAATTTCATAGGAGTCTGAAATCCATGGTCCTATTAAAAAGGTCAGCAGATCTTTATGAGATGAAATGATACAAGAAAACACGATCAATTGGTAAATGATTTGATCCTACATTAAACATCAGGTTCATAACAATAGGAAATCAGTTAAGACCAAAATATCATAACAGGAGCATTCTGGCTCCATTAATGTTTAATCGGCATCCATCTCTTCTAGTGCAGCCCTAGCCGCAACCTTAGCTTCCTCCAAAAGGTCATCGGGAACCTGAAATCCCATGAAATATAAGGAACCACATTTCTTACAATCCAAACAAAATATATCTATGACTTGCAAGTTGCAACCAATTATCTCAATAAGAAATTTAAAAATATTATGAAGTAAATAAAATATTATTAATACTTTATAAATTGTTATCTTTAAACAATATTGATAGTACTAATTTGTGTAACCATTACAATATGATTATTTTGGTACTTTCAAACAGAAAAATTAGATTTTAAGTAATACTAAATACATTGATCTTTGATTCTAAGAATTAATGATTGTTTGCAAAAGAAGGTGGTTTCAAATCACAAGAGATAATATCATTGTAGTAATAAGATCATCTAGGTGATCATATTATGATCTTGAAAATGATATTAAACACTACAGTAAGGTGGTTCTTGACATGTGAGATGATGCATATATGCTTCTATTATATGTGATTCAACAGAAGATTCCCATGTCAAAAGAGGCCAAAAAGACATGGGTTAAAGGCTTAAAGCATAAAAAGGACCTTACTTTTTTACTAAACTTACTTGGTATAGTGTAATTCACGTAACCAACCTTGTGTAGAAAGAAAAGGGCATGAATTTTGTAGTTGTAGCTAGTTAGAACGTTGGAATAAATGCACATCTAAAAGAGGGAGTGAAGAATTACCTTTTGATGTTGTTGCTTTGACTCGTCACAAACCCAACTCATCTCAAGTTCAAAGGCCTTATCCTTTGCTTCATCATGTACCTTGTAAATGCTGCTTAAGAATAACTCAAATGGTCAAATCTAGTCCTAGCATCAAAAACTTGCATTCTAAGGGAAAAGGAACAAAAGCACTCCTCCTGCACCTCCATCTTAAAAGTTCAAGTTTTCTTCCTCATTTCTAATTTGTTTGAATTTTACATACTGCAAACAGTGGCAAGTTAAAATGTACCAGTATACATTGCCAACTCGGTTACAAGGTAAATTAAACTATTCCCTTACTGTTGCCAGAGAAGTGATATTTCAGTTTGTTTTAACATGTAGGATACTAGGATGATATAGCTGGAGTGACATGCACTACAATCCATAATCCACACAAGATTATATGGTTAAGTCTTACATAATGACCTAAGTAAATATTTCCAATGCAAGTACAAGACCAAATTCCGACATATATGAGATAAAATCATATTTCTCAGAGAATTAAACTATTTTATATGTTTTGCATTACAGTCAAAGTAGCCTACAGCATTACAGATATGAAAGAAAATTTAGGACATTCTTTTACAAGATCTTTGTAAAATTATCTCTTTCGAGGTACAAGATAAGCTTAAAGTTACATTTTATCCAATCTCTTGGCAGCTGGTTTCTGTTAAGCTTAAAGTTACATTTTATCCAAACTCTCAGAAGCTGGTTTCTGCTATGTAGTTGAATATTTAAGCAAAAGTACATTGGTTATTGTAAGGGAAAAAATAAATCTTTCCACCGCCATGACAGTCAAGCTATAATTGTGCTCAACCAGCCATTGCAAAGAATAACCAAATAAAAACAGGAAAAAAAAAAAAACAATTTGATGTTGCTGCCTAGATTTTCACGTATTGCAAGGATAACAGAGACTAGCATTCAAAATGATGATGCAAGCAAGAATCTTTAAAGGGGAAAAAGGAAAGAAGAGAAAATTGAAAAAGAAATGGACAAACAATTTTAGAACCACCAATTAACATGTCCAGACTTCAAATAAGTAGATTAGAACAGGAACAAGAAGAAATTACCATAGGCAATACTCACATTTTGGCTACTTCAATAACCCCTTCCCTGCACGTCAATTCAGACAGCTTCAATTTTTCAATTTCTCTGTCCACATATTCCATTCAACCATAAACTTATTATCAGTTATTTACAAGATGAAATCAGAAAGAAAGGGGTAATCAAAGATTAAAAAGGTTGAGATCATGAGAGAGGTTTTAACATCTTTACATGTTTTGGAGGATATAGGCCCTAAAGAAACAGAATGGAGAATAACATGTCACGTAGCTAGGCCCAACTAATTTTGTGTTAAGGCTAATTTGACTTGAGTTGGTAACTCCTAGGCAAATGAGAAGTAGTGAAACAGCACATAGTGGTGGACGCATAGTTCATTGCCTTAATCTACTTGGGTACATCCACTCCACATTTTTATACTTTCTTGTTTATTAAAATTTAAAAAAAAAATGCAAACTTGGATTGAGGCTTACTTAAGCTCCATTGAGGGTTTTTATTTTTCAAAATTTAAACATAAACTTTAAAGACTTCAATTTATACGTGCATAAAAAAAAAAAATCACAATACTCAGGAAATGCATAATTGGGGTAAAAAATCTTAATGATTTGAGAGAATGCCAGGAATATTTTCATTGCTGATTTGTTTTCACAAGAGAAAATATATGCAGAAAAAAAAAAAAGAAGAAGAATAAGTCCATTAAAAGGCTTTTCAACTGGATGACCATTGCATCAAAATATAACATTAGCTTTCACTGGTTGAGAAGGCAAAAACAAAAGTCCAGAATATATAACGCTCAATCATCCCATCTAACTAGCCTGCATGACCAAATGATTTTATCAAATGTAGCCTCTACATTCCTGAGAACGAAAGAAATAGTTTTATAACTTACGTTTTAGCAGCTTGTTTTCCCTTCCCAATTGCAGCACCAAAATATCTCTATATCAATTTTAACAAGCAACAAGGCAAACAGAAAGAAATACATTACCGACTAGTGGAAAATATAAATATACCAATAGACCTAATAACAACTTAGATAGAAAAATGAAGCCCTAATTAAGAAAAATCAACTTACATAGGAGATGCCAGATGGTTCAACCATATATAATTGGGGTCCATCTCTATCATAGCCTCCGAGAATTACCCCACAACCAAAGGGCCTAAGCCACCAGTAGAGGGTGCATAAATGGACATAACTAGCGACACGTTGAGCAAGTTCTTTTATAGGAATGGCTTCACCATACACACTACACCACCGCCAACAAATGAAACTTATAATAACATGGACATATAACAAAACAATCAAAGCTGAATTTTGGGAATTGTAAGTAAAGAAAAAAAAAAAAAAAGAGGAAAAACCTTTCATAATTAGTAGCTTCAGATTTAGCACGTGCGACAATTTGTCTACCGTCAGCTGCTAATCCAGCCACTGCCTGAATTATAGTATCCAAAATCAGAGAAAGAGAGAATAAGAAATTCCAAATGTGGATAAAGATAAAGCTGAAAAAAGGGGAATAGGAAATACCATGCCGGAATGACGATGAACGGAGTGGATTCTTCGATTGGAACCAGGTAACATCATCTTTGATGTTATTAGCTTCTCTACTCCCTAAAATAATAATTAAAAAAAATTCATCCTCACTTAATGTTTGATTTTTTCAAAATAAACAATTAAAGAAACATAAAAAAGCGTACCATGACAATCCCATCTTTGCATTTTATTCCAATTACAGTTCTGAAAAAAAAAAAAGAAAAAAAATAAGATTTTTGAACGTAAAGATATATATGAACTATGAAGAAGAAGAACGGACCCACTGTTATCGACGGCTTTGGCGGCATACTCAATCTGGAAAACGCGGCCGTCGGGAGAGAAAGTGGTAACAGACAGATCGTAACCAGTTCCGATGCTGCTCATCCTTTTTCTCTGCTTTTTCCTACTTCAACACTTGCTTTGCTTTTTCCTATTTCCCTTCCTTTGGAACTTCAATTATATTTTTCATCGTTTATTGAGTTTTCTTTCTTCACAAGACTTCACGTCAATGGGCCTTCTTTTTCCACTCAAGCTTCGACTCTATTTTTATTGTTTATCCTGATCAGCCCAAACTCACTATGGATCGCATCAGCTCGAGTGAAGCCTGGTTGTCACTTATAGTATTGTCCAAGACTTGGATTTCATCCCACCTATTTTAGACCCGAATGAGTCCAACTCTATTTAACTTTAATATTTTTAATATAATTTAGAATTAAATTTAAATAAAAAATTATTGTTTATCCTGTCTTACCATGGGTTTAAAAATATTTGCCTACGTTTAGGTTCGGTGAGTTCGATCTAATCATTCGTATCATTATATCATATAAAATATTATATTTGTATTATATTTTATACGAAAATTATATATTATAATTAATATCAATATAAAAATATAAAATATAATTTTTTAATTTTATTAAATTTAAAATATAATTTTTTAAAAAATTTAAATCGTATTATTTTTATATTCTTTATTTATATTATTTTCATATTTTATCACTGTATCATGTTTCACATTATCACATATAAATAAACAACTCAAACCATAAAATAGATTTACTAAAAAGATTATGCATTATTTTTACTTATAACTTATAAGAATATAATTATTACTATATAATTATAAAAAAAAATAGAAGATAGCAAAAAATTGTGATAAATTTTTAATTCTAATTATTAAAATTTAAATTATGACATTTTAAAATGTATAAAAAATTAAAATTTTAATTTAAATGAAAAAAAAATTAATGTTACTCTTTTTTTTTTTTTTTTGCCATCAATCAATGTTATTAAATTTCATAATACTTCCGATTTCATTTTAGACATTTAAATTGATAGTGTTGATTTTTTTTTTTTTGAAACTCAAACAATTGCGTTTTATATTGCTAATATTGCTATACATCCCCACGTGGTAATATGATATTAATATATCATTATTGTATGTTTTACCACATGAATGTCCGCAACGAATATAGTTAAGGAGTTGACACGTGTATTTAATAATAAATAATTTTCATAAATATAATATACTTTAATATTATCAACTTTCTAACAAAAGTTTAAAAGTCACTTATTAAAACCAAAGAACTTAATTCATTATAAATGTTTTTGTATATTTAAAATATAAGGGTTTATTTCTTCTCCGTTTGATGTGGATGTTTGTGATTATAAAAGGTACGTTTCTTTCATTGAAAACAACTTAACGAAAAATATTTTAAGCATTTTTTTTTTTTGTGTTTGTTTTATTAAAAATATATGATTCAATGAAAATTATTCTTGTGGTCAATGAAAAGTTAATTCATTTTTAGAGAAATTGTTTTCTTCTTTTGAAAATATTTCACATAGCTCGGAAAAAATTAACACATCCAGGTAAACCCTTTGACCCATGTGAAATTTTAGGTGCTATCAGCACCGCTGTTTCTCTCGTCAACAATTTATTTCGTTGGAGTGACACGTTTAGTTGGTATATTCACCTCTTTCATTTATTATTTCAGACGGTTGTTATTTGCACCCAAATAATTGTTCAACGCACTCTTTATTTTTAACATTTTATTCTTTTAGTCAACACATCTCACATTAAAAATACAAATTTATTAAAAACTCTAACACCTCATCATTTTTTCTCTCACATCCCATTCCCCTCTATTTCTCTATTCCCAACAAATTTTAATCTCCAATCAAACCAAATTCAAAGAAATTTTCAATTATTTAAAATTAAAAAGCATAAAATTAAATATAAATTGTTCGTTTTTTTATTTTTTTATTTAATTTTATATTTAATTTCATAAAATTTCATGTAAAAATATTTGAATGTGATTCAAAATTATGAAAATAAAATTTTTAAAATTTAATTAGGCTTATGAATTTTTAAAATTTTATTATTTAAATAATTGGAGTTCAAGTTATATATTAAATTAAAATTTTTTTAATTAAATTCGACTAATTCACAAATAATTTAATTCGGTTACACACCCGGACACCCTGGATTAGAGGTCTAGGTTTTCTGTAATGAGTAAAAACACGTTTAAATTGAAGGCAAAGATAGAAAAAGAAAACAATCGCAAAGGAAACGGTCAAGTTTCATAAAATCATAATATTCAACAGTCAAAATTGCAGAAAAGACAGGCATGGAGCAAAGTCAATAGTCAAATACCATTACTTCCTATGTGGGACTGTAATGGGACAATGAAACGTAAGAATTTAGTAAAGGTTTTATATACAATATTTAAAAGGGCGTAGACATTTCCATGGCCTGCTAACAGCTTCTTCGATCTTTTCTTTTTGTCCATCTTAATTCCAATGCCTTTCCTTCAACGGTATGGACTTTGGGTTTTTTTCTTCTGCTATTATATTCTTTCTTCGACCCCTTAAATGGGTTATCATTTTCGTTAACAATTAGTATTCTTCTTCTTCTTTTTCTTCCTTATGATTTGACAATTCTTTCTTCTCATCTGATCATCGGTCATGGGGATTTGTTGGCCTAAACCTGCAAAATGCGCTCATGCTTCTTCTAATAACTTTTCAGGTCGGTCTCACTTTTTTTGTTTCCTCTGATTTCATTTCTTATATGCTTCTTTTGTTCTCTTTTTTTTTTTTTTTGGGTCAGGAAAGATTTGTCTTCTTTTCTTTTCCTAAAAATTTTGCTGTCGGGTCTGATCCTCTGTCAGGAAAGATTTGTCTTTTTTTTTGTCCTAAAAATCTTGCTGTTTTTGTTCAAAAAAAAAAAAAAAAAGGTAAGTTCAATATGCTATTTTTAAGTCTATTTAACCTTTCACCATGGAATGTTTTCTATTTAAATCCCTAATGTTTTCATGGAAATGGTGATGAGTATATGAACTTTGTAAAGTTTGTGAGATGTTGATCTAGTCAGCCAAACGGAGACCTTTAGCTACTTCACAATTGATATTCTGCTGGTACCTTAGTCTGAAGGTGGTTATTAGGCAGATTTTTGCTGCTACAAAAATCTTAAATACACTTGGATTATGGTGGATTAATTCCATGCAATTTATGGATGGATTCAAAAGACTAATTTGGTTTGTCTGGGTTATTTTGAAGTTTGATTTTGAGCAAACAAATGGCCGTTCATTTAACAATAAATCAATGCTCACTATCTGATTTGAATACAAAGGGGTTCGGCTCTATGTTTTGAGCAACTAGCTTCTTTTTCTTTTCCTGTGGTGAAGTTAGTATAAAGACAAAGAATTTTGCATGAGCATAATTCATTGGATGCACGTTTTTAACTTCAAATTGATCATAAGCAGAACATTGGTAATACAGTATTATGGTTCCTTTTTGGTTTTTGGTTTCAGGATGAAAATAATACTATGAATTTGTTTATTAAATATATTTATTTTCACGTTTCTCTTGTATCATGCACGTATTAATGAGCTATAGGTTTGATATGGCTTGGAAGGCAATAAATTCATGACTTCTGCTTTTTGTTATTTTAGGTAGTGCAAAGACTCATGGTAACACAAAGCAGGAATCAACTTCTTCCGCCCAGAAATCACCTCTGGAAGTTTCCAACAATGAATTCATAGCATCGAAACCTCAAACACCTGTTTCCAGCAATCTCAAAGCTGATACATCTGTTTCTAGCAATCTCAAGTCTTTTAGTTTTAGTGACCTTAAAAATGCCACCAAAAACTTCCGTTCAGAAACACTTCTCGGAGAGGGAGGGTTTGGATGTGTTTTTAAAGGTTGGATTGATGAGAACACTTTTGCTCCTACCAAGCCTGGAACTGGAATTGTTGTAGCTATCAAAAAACTCAAGGCAGAAAGCTTTCAAGGCCACAAGGAATGGCTTGTATGATCTCTTGTTTATAAGTTTTATTTCCTCTGTTTCAGTTTTTCAAGTTCATATGTGAACCTGATTTCATTCTGATCAACTTTGTAGGCAGAAGTTAACTATTTGGGTCAGCTTCACCATGAAAATCTTGTGAAACTCATTGGTTATTGCGCTGAGTATGAGAATAGACTTTTAGTTTATGAGTTTATGCCAAAGGGAAGTTTAGAGAATCATTTATTTAAAAGTAAGCGTGTCTCTTTCTGCAGATTTTACTCTTTTTCCATTAATCGTCTTCTTATTATGTTAAATCATTTACTTTTGTACCAAGGCCTCATAAAAGTAAGATGTTAAACCACAATATGAATCTAGTTGTCTCCTATTGGCAGAAGCCTTATGCATGGCAGCTGGAGTGATGTGGTTTAGCTCTTAGGATGGTGGCATTTTTGCATATATGAGTTACTTTTATGTCATTTTCTTTTTCTCCTTCTTCATTAGTGTGATTCTTTAATCAGAATAGGATCTGATGTCTCGTACTAACACCATAACCATTATTGTTTTCTTCTTCCAGAAGGTGTTCAACCAATTTCCTGGGCTACACGGACGCAAATTGCAAGGGGTGTTGCTCAGGGATTGTCCTTTTTACATAGTTTAGATGCTAATGTAATCTACCGTGATTTAAAGGCTTCGAACATTCTTCTCGACTCAGTATGCTGAGACATCAAAAATTCTGACTTGTGATTGAGTTGTATAGCAGAGATGTTCTATTGAACATACATTTAATTTAAGGACTCATTGCTTGCTACATAAACTTTTGTAGGATTACAATGCAAAGCTTTCAGATTTTGGCTTGGCAAGAGATGGTCCAACTGGTGATAACACCCATGTTTCAACCAGAGTTGTTGGAACTCGAGGTTATGCAGCCCCTGAATATGTAGCAACAGGTATGCATCACCTTTCTTTTGAATACTATCTATACTTGTTTCTATAGAAAGAGTTACACCTAAAACTTGTGACCAGATAATGAGTAGAAAGAATATTTTGACATGCATATCTGTTGCTTGCTATTAATGAGAAAAGTAAATATGAAAATAAGAAAAGAAAAAGGAAAGAAAGATAACCATAATTGGAGCAGAATCTTGAGAAGCTGATATTTATCTATGCTGGGCACGAGCATGTTCTGTGTACTTTTCTTGAAATGCTTGAGACATTCAAGTGAAAAAGTTAGATCCCATATGTTCCCTGGATAGCCCAAGAAGAATCGATCACCTTTTCACACTTTTTGCATTTTTTCTTGAATAGGCTGTAAATCATCCCTCACTTGGGATTCACCTTATTACACTTTTTTTCACAATTTAGCTTAACTAGGTTGTAAATCATCTCTCACCTGGAATTCATTTTTTTGTTGAGCTTGAGATTATTCTCAAATTGCCTATAATCATTGAATACCGATACACTTAAAGAATGAATTGAAGTTGAATATTTTGGCTTGATTAGTAAATGAACTGAGATTAAGCAGTAAATTTTTTTTTTTTTAACAAACCTCATAACAGTTGTGTAGTAATCTTATTGTACTGTCAAAACTGTCATGCCTACTAAATTTTGCCTCAAATATGATGTCCTTAATTTCTTATGACCTTTGGCACATCTAGATTCCAAAAAACATCATGTTCTCACTGAGCCACTATGTCTCTGCTTGTTCACCGGCGTATGTGAAATGTGCCAAAGGCTCATTGCTGTTGAACGTGATATGCTTAATATTCTGGGCTCATGATCATACCACCAACCAGTTTGTTTCATTGTTAATTTGTTTGCGGAAGCAATATATCACAATAAACTCATGGCAAATAAAACAATAATCAATAATTAATAACGCTAGAAAAATAGAACACACTAAGATTTACGTGAAAAATTTTCTAATGTAAAGGGAAAAAATCATGGACCGACAAAAAAATTTTCACTATCAAATAATAGATGTACAAAGTTCTCCTCTAGTTAAAACTAGAGCTAAATAATAATTAGAGAAATAATTAGAGAAATTTTACCTAATAGGTGATTCAACAAATACACTTTAGATTTGTTTCTAGAGAGTTTCAACTCCAATCTCCATCATTTAGAATGTGGAACACTGAGTCGTGAACGTGTTGACAAATTTCAGCTTAATCGGACTACTAATCGACCTTTATTCAAACTTTTGATCAAATTAACAGCTCCCTTGTTCTTTTTCTTTTCCTTTCACTTGATGACAACCTTTTTTTTCTTCTCTGGTGGCTTACATTCCTTTCACCTAAAACAACCCCTACCCTTTATATATAAAATAGGGTTTTTTTTTTTTTTCAATTGTCTAAAACAAAAGGCCTAAGGCTTTTAATTGGTCAAAAAGAATGTGGCTAGACCCACATTATAACAAATTTCCCTTCTAACCCCATTAAAAGGAGATCCATCACCATAGCAGTCTCATTTAGAACTTATCTTTATCAAGAAATCTATATCGGCCAAATTACTGTAGAACTCAAACTTTTCTTTGAAAATTGTCTTAGTCAACATATTAGCTACATTTTCGTTAGTATAGATTTTTTTCAACTGCATTTGTTGCTCCTCAATTACCGAACACAGCCAGTGATATCTAACATCAATGTGCTTTATTTTAAAATAGTACATGACATTCTTACTCAAATCTAAAGCATTTTGGCTATCACAAAACATCACACACTTTTTTTTATTCAATCTTAATTTGAGAAGAAAATGTTTTATTCAAAGTATTTCTTTACCTGTTTCGGTTGCTGCAATATACTCAGTTTCTGTAGTTGACAAGGTAACACACATTTACAACTTAAATTGCCAATATACAGCTCCTCTTGCAAAAGTGAACAAATACGCTGAAGTATATTTCTTACCATCAAGATCACTAGCGATGTCAATATAAGTAAACTCTTCTAAAACTGGTTGTGTAATTTCACAATTCAAGCACATTTTTTAGGTGCCTCTTAAATATCTGAAGATCTATTGCTTTCTAGTGAACTTTTCCTAGATTAGAAAGAAATTTATTCACTGCACCAACTGCATGAGTAATGTCAAGATGTGTGTAAACCATAAGATACATCGAAGAACTGATTGAAGAGCAATAAGTAATACTAAACATAGTTAGTTGTTTTTCCTTAATCGCCAGACAAGATTTCTTACTCATATGAAAATAGTTGGCAAGTGGAGTGCTAATTGATTTAGCATGCTACATGTTGAATCTACTACATCTTCAACATACTTTTCCTATGACAACTACAGCTTCCCAACTCTCTTATATCGGATAGTATCCATACCGAGAATCTGTTTTGCTGAACCTAAATCTTTTATTTCAAAAGACTTAAAACAATTATTTTTTCAACCTGCAAACTATACTAGCATCTTGTTTTATAATTAATATATCATCAACATATAATAAGATAATAATGAAATTACTATAAAGGAATTTTTTAACATAGACACAAGGATCCACTGCAGTTCTTTTATAGCTGTACCATAAAAGAATCAAACTTCTTATATCACTGTTGCGGAGCTTGTTTCAAGTCATAAAAGCTCTTCTTCAATTTGCAAATTAGATGTTTTTTCCCTTTCGCTTAAAAACCCTTAGGTTAATTCATATAAATCTTTTCCTACAAGTTATCATGCAAGAATGTAGTCTTAATATCAAGTTGCTCAAGCTCAAGATTCAAACTAACTACTAATCCTAGTACCACTTAAATGAAACTCATCGTCATAATTGAAAAAAGCTCTTGTCAAAATCGATGTCGAGTTTTTGAGAAAAATCTTTCACCACAAATTGAGTTTTATACCTCACTAGCTTCTCACCATCCTTTTTCAGCTTGAACACCCATTTATTCTTCAATGACTTTTTCTTTTTCGAAACTTAACAAGATCATATGTGCCATTTTTTTGTAATGATTTCATTTTTTTTCATTGTTTTTAACCAATGCTATCTATTCAAAGTAGTCTGCACCTCTTGAAAACTCTTTGGCTCTTTCTCACTAGTAACTAAAATAAAATATGAACTTAAAAGCTTTATGGACAATTGATGCTCTCTTATAGATCTTGTAGGTTGATATTTTACATTACCTGATGTCAAAAAAAGCTCCCCCCTGCTCAACACTTTTTGGTGGAGAAGATAGTTCACACTACTTAACACTCTTTGGTGGAGATGATTGCTTCCTCCCTAAAAAATGATTGCATTTGGCTTATCACTAACATGGCTAACTTAATCGTATCCTTGAGTTTTGTTTCTTGTTTATTTTCACCATCTGTGGCTCTAGGTGTAACCCTTTGTCAATGTTGAATCATCACACTCAATAGTAATGCATGTAGTTTTCTCACTCTTCTCAATGTCTGCTATGGTTTCTTTTCTATGAAAGAGCACATCTCTACTTCGTATTGTCTTTCTCTCCACTAGATCCCATAATCTGTAGCCAAATTCCTTATCACCATATCCGATAAACACACATTGTGGCTTTACTATCAAGCTTTGACCTCTATTCTGTCGACTCATGCATGCATGCTTTATGTACAAAAACTTTTAAGTGAGAGTATGAAGCATCTTTTTTCCTCCACACTCTTTCTAAAATGTCAAAACTCAAAGTAATTAATGGTGATCTGTTAATCAATTAGTAGGTTGTGTTAATTGTTTCACCTTAGAATGGCTTTGGTAATTTTGTCATTCTCAGTATACATTTGACTTTTTTCATAATGGTGTGGTTTATTCTTTCAGCTACACTATTATGCTGCAGTATTTTAGGTTCTATCATCTCATGCTTAATCCCATGCTTTGAACATTATTCTTCAATGTTTTTGGATGCATATTCTCCATTATTTTCAGTTCGAACACACTTAAAGGGTGACCTTGTTATCTTTTCCACCATGTTATGAAATTTCTAAAAATACTATAATACTTGTTTTTTGTTTTTTCACATATACACCCATATCTTATATGAAGCATCATCAATAAAAGTAACAAACTATCTATTACCATCCAATTACTTAACTTTAATAGAACCATATACATTAGAATAAATCAATTTCAATATATTTTCTTTCCTTTGAGAATGTTTATGAAAATAAAAAATACGAAGCCTACCATGCAAACAATAATTACATGAATCGAGAGACATACCTTTAGTCAAAGAAATAAGAGATTGCCTTATCAAAATCTGTAACCCTTTCTCGTTCATATGTGCCAGCCTTTTGTGCCACATCTTCGCTAAAATATCATTTTCAACGGTTTTTATCTTATTGCATTTAATTTTATCCATGTATTGCACATTGTGTAGCATGGTTTTTCTCTTGCAATTATCAAAGATCCTTTGAGAAGCTTTCATTGTTCATTCTTTTGGTGACTCTCGTATCGTTTCTTATCAGGGACATTCATTATAAGAAAGTTTATTCTTATATCTGGCATGTCTTAACATCCTTTAAAGTTAACGTGCAGTCGTATTAGTTTGTACAACAATATCACCAACCCCAAACACATTTTATTTCTCATTTTGGTGCAACTAAAATCTCTTATTTTGTAATTTGTAAATAACTCTTTCTTTGTAACACAATGATATACTGTTCCAGTTTTAACTATCCGTTTAATGCTTAGATCACTAATATGATTGCAGTCATTATGTGTACAAATCAAAGTAACTGAATCATTATCTGAATTCACTATTATAACACTGTCATAATTTGAACTCTTGCCTTTCTCATCTTTTTGCTCTTGCTTCAAGATTTTACAATTTCATTTTATGATTAGGTTTACCATAATGGTAGCACTTTACTTTATCTTTGGACATGGATCTATGTCTAGACTTTCTATAGTCTTTCGAGTTTTGACCTTTATTGATGTCTCTGCCCCTATTTTATGTGATAAGAGATTGATTCCCAGAGTGTGACTCTTTTCGCCTTGTTTTTCTATTAAGCATATTGTACTTCATTGTCTTTAACATCACTTTGTAGGAGTTGATTTAAGAACAATCACACCTTAAGTTTTCTAGCTATCTAGTAATAAACTTAGAGGAAACAACACTTTCATTTCATTATCTATTTTGAGCTTCATAGTAGTCATCCAATTGAATATATCTTGAAAATTATTCAAGTGCTTTGTAATCGATTGTCCATCCTTATATTGTAAAGTTATAAGCTTTTTGACAAGCATAATTTTATTCATGTCTGTCTTCTTTTAATAGAATGTTGTTAATTTTTTTCAAAAGGTGTGGGCATATCTTTGCACTACATGATGAAACATGCTGGTATCGATCTATTTTCTAATTGTGTCCAGCATTTTTTTTTTAAACTTCTTTTAGCTTTTATTTTTCATATATGCTGGTTTAGCCAAATCACTAAATACAAATTCATACAAATCTTTGTAATATAAATAATCCTCAATTATTGGCTTTCAAATTGAATATTTGATGTTGTCAATTTTATTATGAAACCTATATCACTCTCCATGAACTCAAATAGAATTTACATTTATTTTGGGTTACTACTATACCAATGTCTCTAAAATAATCATAACTCTGATGTCACTTGTTGAGTTTAAAGTCAACAACATAGAAAAAATAAAGTACACTAAAATTTGCATGAAAAACCTTCAAATATAGAGGAAAAAAATCATGGATCATCAAAAAAAAATCTATTTTCAAATAATGGATATATAACATTCTTCTCTCTAATTAAAACTAAAGCTAAATAAAAATTAAAAAAATAATTAAAGAAATCTCATCAAATAAGTAACTTAATAATTATATTTTGTATTTATTTATAATGAGTTTCAATTTCGTTCATAATATAAATATTGAATCATAAATATATTAATAAAATTTTAACTCAATTAAATTACAGATCTCTATTTACTGTTGATCAAGCTGACAACTCCCTCTTATCCTTTATCTTCTCTGGCGGCTCACTAAAACAGCCCCACCTTTATATATAAAATAGTATTTGCTTTTGTCGGTTGTCTAAAACAAAAGGCCCAAAGCCTTTAATTGGTAAAAAAGAATGGTGTTGCACCATAACATAATTTTCATTTGTATGTCCAAGTAGAGGGAAATTAAACTGAAAGAAAAACTATGGGAGGTGGAACTAACTCCCATCTGCGATACATACCACTGTAATTATCTTATAATTAAAAGGGGAAAGGTAAAAGATTGAGAGCTTATTTATTTAGTTTTCGCAGTATACTTCAGGTTGGAAGTTAGTGCCTTTGAAAGGGATGATATTGGGAAAAGCTACCATCTTGGTACTTTGAAATGATCCTTTTGTTTTTGAGCTTGTTTTGTTACTTCCTTTTGAAATGGAAAATTTATTAACCTGATTTCAGCAGAGGGGTATCTATCCTACTAATGAGCCAGTTTAAACCTCGCAGGTCATTTGACCCCAAAGAGCGATGTGTACAGCTTTGGTGTTGTACTATTAGAGTTACTTTCGGGACAACGGGCAATGGATGATGAGAGAGTTGGGTTTTCGGAAGAAACACTCGTGGACTGGGCGAAACCATTCCTAAGTGACAACAGGAAAGTACTAAGGATAATGGACACAAGGTTGGGGGGGCAGTACTCTAGAAAAGGAGCACAAGCTGCCGCTGCTCTTGCGTTGCAATGCTTACATACGGATCCTAAGAACAGGCCATCCATGGCTGATGTTCTAGTCTCGTTAGAACGACTCCATGCATCAAAGGGTACACCAAGGACGCCCCAACATTCACAAGCAAAGCTGGATCATCATGGGATGAAGCATGTGAATAGCCCTCACAAGACAAGAGTTTCAACTGCAAATTCACTTTGAAAATATAGTTTTTCTCAAGGCAAATTCACTTACGGTAAGCAGGAATTTTCTCCAACTATCGTTCGGGGCCTTGTATGCAAGAACGAAACAAATGGAAGAGACACAGTATACCCGAGTTTGCGAGAGTGTTGTTGAATATGTGTATAATTATTATTATAACATTAAAATCCTTATGTACATTAGCCATCCGTTTTTCTTGTATCAATCTTAATAGAAAAGTTTTGATCACTAGGAAATCTTGCTCCTGCTAAGAAACCAAATTTTGTTTTAGAGCCTATGTTAATCAAAGTTTGAGCTTTCTGATTTTAACAAGGTATCCAAAGCTTTTCCGCTAATTTGTTATTCTCAATTTTTGAAAGGAGAAAATTGCTTGAAAAAACGATTCAGTCTAAAAGATGTTATATTTTATAATTGAAGTTATGGATCGAATTTAAAAAATTAAAAATTTAATACTCTAATGACATATTGTTATCAAATGATTGTTGAAATTAGTTGCTTAACATTTCATACTTAAATTAGTAAGACAATAATCTTGTAAAATTTTCGCCTGTGAGATTTTGTGGTCACATGGGATAGGATTCAAATTTTTTGCATGAATGAATAAAAATTACTTTCATTGAATTAATAATTTATACATGATCAAAATTTTAAATTGCACAAATAATGATAAAATATCTAATTTTTTTAAATTTATCATATGAATTTATTAATTTTTTAAAAAATATACCATAACGAGATATGTAATAATTTTTCTAATCCATTAACAATATTGTATTAAATAATTTTTTTACTAAAAAATAAAATGACAAAGAAAGAAAGAAAGAAAGGTAAAAGCATTGGATATGCCGTTAGAGGGCCGATTGGATGGAGATGGACTCAGTTTGCGGGCCTATTGGCAGTTTCTGGTTTGAACCGGGTCCGGTTCTTGAAGCTCCTCAACACGAAGTCAGCCAATGGCAAAGGGGAATATGCCATTGCATTCGCAATATCTAGGGTTTGAGTAGCCTCACAATTTGACGACTCCATATATATACCACTCATACCATTCATACTCCTACTTTTTCTTCCTCTCATTCCGTCTTTGCTTCATTTTTGCTCTGATTTCCCATCACTTCTTTCTTTTTTCTTCTCCCAATTCACAAAAATGGCCATCACTTTCTCAGATCTCCACACTGAGTCTGGCCTTAAGTCTCTTGATGACTTCCTCTCTGGCAAATCTTACGTCTCTGGGTATGTGCCCCAATTATCATCCCACTATTTTTGTAAAACCCAATTTTTTTTTTTTTTTTTGCTCTAAGTATTAAAAATGAAATTTTCATGGGTTTTTGGTTTTTCCCAGGAATAAGCTGACCAAGGATGACATTAAAGTTTATGCTGCTGTTTTGAAGAATCCCGGTGATTCTTTTCCCAATGTTAGCCAGTGGTATAATTGTGTGTGTTCCCATCTTGCCACTTGGTAATGTTTTTTTCCTTCTTATTCCCGTTATACCCTTTTATGGATAAGAATTTTTTTTTCGGTTACTTGGTAAGATCTGTCTTTAGAATTATTACTGTATCTGAAGATTATGTATTGGAAATCCTTTGTTATTTTAATGGTTCGTAGCTTCCCTGGGAAAGCTGTTGGCGTTGGACTTTGTGGCAAAGCTGCTCCAGCTGAATCTGCTGAAGCTGAGGTTTGTCTCAAGTTGATTTCTTTTATCCAACTCATATCTGTCTTTTAAGTTTTAGTTTGATTGCCGCTTAGTAATGGAGGGTTCAAAATGAGTAAATGAAAACTAAAGGTAAAATTTAAAGCCTACAGATCAATATAACTAAATGAGTTGATCAATAATATGTAAATAGTTAACTGAAAATAGTATTTGTAAACAAAATTGAATTGTTAATTGATGAGCGTTGGAATTTTATCATAATATTTAGTTCAATCACCTAAAATAAAATATTAAAATTGTCTTTTAAAAAAAAATTACTTGTATGTATAATCTATTTAACAAGCTCTATTTATCTGTCTCCTTTGATTTTAATTTTAGTTATAATTTGATTGCTATGAATTGGGAACTTTGTGAATGTCATCTAAAGCACTTTACCTAGGTCTTGTCTTCTCTCTTTACAAGGTTAAGATTTAAAGTTTGAATTCTCCTCTTGCCCTTGGCTTCGTCAAATGTACCCCAAGAAAGAAAGCAACTGCTTTTCAAATAGGGCTAGTAACTTTGGAGCTTATTGACTTGAATTTGGTCTCTGCATCAGTACTCTGGTTATCAGTTTTGCTAGTGTAATTGTTTATTCAAAATTTTTTTCTGTTTTATGCTGTCAGGCTCCTGCTGCGGATGATGATGATGATGACTTAGATCTGTTTGGTGATGAGACGGAGGAGGAAAAGAAGGCAGCAGAGGAGAGGGAAGCCTCTAAAAAGTCAGCTAAGAAGAAAGAGAGTAAGTATTTGTGTTGATTAAAGTAACTTGTTCTTTTCATTTTCATGTGAAGGATGCATCTTTTGCTGCTTTGATTGTAGTCTTCTGACATTTGTTGATTCACAGGTGGAAAGTCTTCTGTGCTTTTGGATGTTAAACCATGGGATGATGAGACTGACATGAAGAAGTTGGAAGAAGCTGTTCGATCTGTTGAGATGCCTGGGCTTTTGTGGGGAGCATGTATGGTTTGGTTTTAATTTCTATTATATTAAATTTGTCGAAACAATGTGCACAAACAATTCCTTTCCTAATGTTTATAATTTTTTGCATTAAATACTTGCAGCAAAACTGGCTGCTGTTGGATATGGCATTAAGAAGCTCCAGATCATGCTTACTATAGTGGACGATCTTGTTTCTGTTGATAACCTTATAGAGGAGCACCTCACAACAGAGCCACGCAACGAACATATTCAGAGTTGTGACATTGTTGCATTTAACAAAATTTAGATGAGGACAATTGTTTTATGCAACAGCTGCTAGAGTTAGCCAATTTTGGCCATGTTATCCAAACCTTTTTCCCTTCCTTTCCCCTATATTATTTTCTTTTGGGCTGTGCTTGCTACTGCTTCTGCGCTAGATTTGGAAGAGATGAAAGTACTTCAATGATGTTTTGCTGAAATTGTATTCTGGTATAATGTTTAATGTTTTGAGTGACTTTGCAGATTGCATAAACTTTTATCTAATCTCTTGCTACTGCTTCTTCTCTAGATTGAGAAGAGATGAAAAGATTAAGTACTCCATTATGGTGTCCTGAAATGTTTTTCTGGTATAATGTTCAATGTTTTGAGTCAGTTCAAGTTTGTCCAAGAACAGATAAGTGACATTGGAGATTGCATAAGCTATTGAACTTTAGATGGAAATGGAAGTCATTGATGGCCGTTTTGGATCTGTTTTTAGTAAGAGATTAGATAAAAAGTTGTCATATTAATAAAATGCCTTAGTTGGATTTATATATCCATGTCATTTTATTAAATGACTTTGTGCTTTTCATACCAAACACCTAGGAATGATATCTCAAAGCAAATGCACACCACATTACAAACAATTATAAGTGGAAGAACAAAAATGATATACATAAACTATAAGAATAACCTTGCTTTCATCTAAGCTTTCCAAGTTTCTTGTCCTGCAAACAACAAAGTCAGGAGTAGTAAACGATGCTTGGCTTCGGAATTAACAGGGCAGGCAGATGTTACTTGATAAAAACATTTGAGGCAATTATGTTTTGTACAAAACAGCCAACAGAATCTTTTCCTGATTTCAGTTTTAGAATATACCATATGATCTCCTGGATCATCTGCCACTGCCTGGATATTGGGTTGTTTCTTGAATGAAAAAACCTTGGTTTTTTTCTACCCGAATTATTTTGTAACTATAGTTCCAAATCAACTATCATTGTCGATAAAAAACTACAAGAACCCCATTGATTCTTTATCATGTGCTGTTTTCATCTTCTCCCCTCCAAAGATGACTATAACTTGTCATGTAGCATAGAATTATAGAGAAAACAGATGGCTTTAAAACAGATAAAGTGTTTGTAAATTCCCAATGGAAAGTTAAAGGGCAGTGGTGATCCAGGATGCATCTAAAGAAGTTTGTTCAAGTGCCATTAGGTGGGCACTTCATGGCTTATTTCTCAAGCCTGGAGATTTGCATGTCCTCCTTGGAGTTCTTCATGAGGTTAACTATCCTCGAACGATATCTTTCAAGGCACTAGAAAGCTTTGTAAGCCTTCATCCTTACAAAAAATTTGAGATTATTTGTCAGTTTGCTTGTTTGAATTTATGCAATTCAATTTTTTTCCACTCCTCTTAAAGTGGGATACAGAAGCAAAGTGGACTCCAGTTCAAAGTTTGGAGCAAACCCCAGAATTGTTGATAGGGAAGCAGCAAGGAAGGAGTATGAGAACACTGCTGACATAATGGAGATTTCAAAGCTTTGCAAAGCAGAAAAGGTAGTCTAATGCATTGGCATTAGAACAGTTCTGAGTTCTATGTTGGTATTATTTTAAGCAGAATATCATTGAATAGTTGGTATCTCAAAAAATAATGAGCTAATGAGAGATCATCATTGATAACTCAGGTTCAATTTAGGATACAAGTGGCTGCAGGAGCTTCACCAGCGGTTGTCGCTGTGTAATCAGCAGAAAATTTGAGGGCAACATGGCTAATTCTAGACAGGCTTGGCCAAAATCAAATCAGGATGAGAAAATTGTATTTTATAGAAGATGAAATGAAACTACTGCAAGTGGAATCAACACAGACAAGAAACCAAAGACTTAGATTCTTCAAACTCATAGCTAATTAGATTGCAAATGGATTGTTTAATAGAAGCAGCAATTCCCTGTTAAATATATACTGATTCAAAAAGATCATTTATGGAACAGGAAGATGTAGAAAAACAAGATAATCTTTCTGGAAAAGCTTTCATGTGGGATATCGAGGATGAAGAGGAATAATGGCCTATTGAGAGGGAACAAAGTTTTGTGTTACTTATGATGATATGATGCTAGGGGCCCCAGAAGAAGATCTTTTCAGCATTGAACTTTTCCCAACATGTAAGATGAATTATGACATATCAATTCAGTATTTTATCTGCCTAATTATACTCTCTAGTTCACAGTTAAACACACACACACACACACACACACACACCCCTTTCTTGTTGTTTCCAACTTTCTTACCTTTACGTTTGCTATATTGTTTTTCTGAAAAGATGGGATATTCCAACAGTAATAATTTTGATAATTTATGTGGAAGGTCAAGCAGAAGCAAATCAAGTGAGTCAAAATCAAATACTCGCATATACCAGCAGTTTTGCAGATTCAAATACAAGGTTGCAAGCTAAGGAAACTGGAAATCCAGCATGCATCATTTGTGATAATAGAATGCAACTTGTTAAATGGAGAAAAGATTTCACATATGTGGAACTCTATGCTGCTACAGATGGATTCTCGTCAAAGAACAATCTATCTGAAGATGGTATTGAATGTGCTTTCAGAGGTCAGCTAGAAAATAAGCTGAGGATTGTGATTAAGCCTGCACACAACAAAATATACTTTGAAGAACCAAAGAAATTTGAGTCAGAAATAGAAACACTCAGCAGAGTTATACACAAGAACTTGGTCATGCTGCTAGGATGCTGTGCAGAAAGAAGTAGGCTGCTTGTATATGAGTATGCGTGCAATGGTTCACTTAATCAACATTCATCAAGTAAGGAGAAACAAATGGAAAAAAACCTTCTGAATCAGCTTTTTCAATAAATACTTGGCATTATAAACAGGGTTCAAAGTTAATACTATACTATACAAATGGCTTCATGTGAAGCAGAATGTCAACCTATGCCATTGAGTCGGACAGAGAGGCCAAAAGTAGCACTTGGTGCATCCAGAGGTCTACATCAAAACAACATCATTCACAAAGACATACGACCAAGTAACATTCTTCTAAACCATGGTTTTGAGCCACTGGTAATGACTTGAATATCATATGCATACTAAGTTAACTTTAATATAATAATTTGAAATTTCATGTTAAATGTTATAATATGTTCTGTTAGCTTGGAGATTTTGGGATAGAAACAATGCGATCAGATGATCAGAACTTTCAGACATCTAGGTATTTAGCTCCAGAATATCTCGAGAATGGAACATTCTCTACTCAGATAGATGTATACTCGTTTGATGTGGTTCTACTTGAGCTCATAACTGGCCAGAGGACCATGGACAAGAAGATGGAACAAAAAGGTTTTTTGACATGGGTAATTTGCAAAACACTATAATCATACATTGAAAATGAACTTATGGTTTTAAGTTTAACTTAATTAATTTATGCAGTCACTTTTAAAATGTGATATTTAATAAATCTAGAATTCAAATCTTTGTACTTAGAAACTCTTTTCATATTTTGTGATTGCGGCCTTTTTTTTTCCTTTTTAAATTATGGTAACTAGAAATTATAAAACTTTCTTGCTTCTTTATCCCGCCCCCCCCACCAAAAAAAAAAAAAAACTAGAAAGGAAATTTTCGACAGGCAAGAGCACTTCTCGAACAAAGAAGGTATTTAGAGCTAGTTGATCCAAGAATTGCTAATTCCCACGATGTCTTCCAGCTTTACAGGATGGCCCAAGTGGCACCAAAATGTCTAAGCAAAAAACCCAAGAAAAGATTACCCATGGATCGGGTAAACGTCATGCCATTCCAAGCAAAATCTAACAATTACAAAAACTGTAAAGGAATATTGAACTATGTATTGAATCTATCCAGAACCAGAAAAGATCACAAACGTATTAAACTTGATCTTTAGTCTCAACTTCAATTAAAAGATTCGAAAAGTTTACGCCATACATTGTTTTGATTCGAGGAACTCTTTAAACGGAAGTATATGCATGCGTTTATTATTAAAAATGCCCGTGTTTTTTTTATACATCGTTTGAATCGTATTATCTTGATTCAGGTGGTTTCTACTCTTGAATACACAATAGAAAGCAAGCCAGGCAGTTTAAATGAAGACCATCGGCCATTAAAATCATATTTGCCATACAATTGTGTCAAGACAGTCGAACAAGAAAGTTGGTATGAAGATATAGATATCACAAGTCTGAAGAGAAGTAGATCTTTCTCAGCAAATGTTTGGACATGCCAAAATTTTGGCAATACTTCTTCAGCTGATGGAAAAAGCTATAAATTTGTAAGAGCAAGAACGCGAAGAGCAAGTCGAGTGCATTATGCTCAACTGAATCATTCAAACTACTCTATGGACAAACTCAATCTCTCATTTTTATCTTATTGCTCTTGCAATAAAATAATAATAATAAGTTTGTTTTTATTCGTTCGTGATGAAAATCTTAAACATTTCCTAGAATAATAACTAAGATAACAAAAATACAAAATCAAGATTTCCCAACAATCAAAATCGAGGTAGGATACTCTCTCAACAACAAATTTCATTTGAAGCATTTGATTAGGTCATTTTAGTATTACAATAAGTTCACTGCTGAAGAGAAGACAGTTTGAAATTTTCATTAAAATGTCATCGCAAATTTGGATACACTGAAAATATTATAACATCCAGAAAACCTTCACAAACTGAAGCTCCCGAACCGGTTTGAAAGCGAAGACAACATACCTCACAAATTCACTCCTTGCACAAAATGAACCTACCATATCTCATGTATCCCAGAAAATTTTGCTCCCAGTCTTGGCTATCTTATGAGCCTCTGGGGCAAAAATTAAAAGGAAGGGAACAAAACAAAAGACCTAGGTTTTTCTTTTTTTTTTTTTACTGTACAGTAAATTTGCGGAAGCCAGAAGATAATCTAGTCAGTTTCTGTCGAATGAGTATCACTTCTCCCAATACATTCTTCCCTCTCGTGGTTATTACGCTTACACCAACACAAGTACTGGGGGATTGGTCCATCTTCTGCAATAACCCAGGAATGCTCTGCTACAGCATTCAAAGTCATCCTCTGTTTTGGATCTGAAAAAATGTTTAAATTCTCATGATCACTAAGAATAGCAAAGCCATGTGAGATATAGATGGAGGGGCAATTGATAAACATTAGTTCTGGGTATAAAGGACCCAGAAATCAGAGAGGAATATTTCACTAACCTTTGCAAAGAAATCCTTCTAGTAAGTTTCTCAACTCTGGGTTCATGTCATTCGGCAGAATTAAAGGGTTATTAACAATCTGCAGAAAGAAAAAGAATGATGTTGTAGAATGTGGGAGAGATAACAAAAAGAAAAGTGAGAGAGAATGTGTACATGCCTGAGTAAGTGCACAGGAGACATGGACATAAAGCAATTTGCATACCTTGTCATATGTATCCTGTAGCGTTTCACCGAGAAATGGATATTTTCCCAGTACCATACAGTACAAAGTAACTCCTACAGCCCATGTGTCAGCAGCTTTTCCATGATATGTTAAACCTGAGATGGATTTCATGCATGGTCAAAATAAACATTTACGATGTTCTCTAATATCTCTCTACTACTAGAGCATAGCTTCAGCTAACAGATGGAACACCGACCTAGACAGCACTCAGGTGCAGTAAAAACAGGAGTCCCAGGAGAACGGCGAAGCTCATCATCGTCATCCTATAGAAATAAAATGATTTTGTTGAAAACAATAAATACAAAACTTACTTCCACAGAACTAAACATGATTTGAAAGTTAAATGGAACTTCGAAAAGTGACAGAAAGACAATAAAAATAGGACAAAGAGAATAACAACTAATAAGGACAAAGTTCTCTTAAAAAACTTCATCTAAATCTTTTCAAAAGTGCATCAGCCACACAAACTTTTAGTGCACTAAACTTATCAAAACAATTGCGTACATGCACATTACTCTTCTTCAATTGCTCGTGTCCAAAAAAAACTGCCTATAACAAAATTTTGTAGTTCATATCATATTATATGCAAAATAATAAACAGTAAAACAGCACAAGATAAAAAAGAGGCCCATCCAAAGAGAGAGATATAAATATATGGGTATGCATACACATGTATTATACAATAAAAACTGATTACACTTTATCACTCTCATTCAATTCATAATAGGAGGAAATTTAAGGGTGAAGTATATCATTACCTCAAACACCTGGCTGACACTAAAATCTCCTATCTTCACCATACCCGTGCTACTAATCAACAAATTATCAGGTTTTATATCTCCATGCACAATATTCTGTTTTTTAACAGAAAAGACCCAAGTAAGCACAGTAAATTGGCAAGTTAACAATTAACAGATGATTTTATTGTCTACCACAGGAAACAAGATACTCCACATAAAAAGTAAAATTCATGGAAACATATGCAAACTTTCCAACCAGTAGTAAGGAGGATAAAGAAGCAAAAATCTAGGAAAGGAAATTCCACAACACACAGAAACTATGAAGATTTGTTGATCAATAACTTCCATCATCAAAACATCAAAATAAAGGATATCAAACATGCATGGACATGCCGCACATCTATATCATTGATGACACAACTAGCCAACTCTCTTCTTCAGGGATGTTGCTTTTAAACTGACAACCTTAAGCATTGTATTTGTATTTACATGAACATGAGCAAACAAGAAAAAACAAAATAATCTTTTGTACGAATATTTGTAGAAAAACCTAATCATATTTATCTAACCAAGTATTTAGTTAGTCGCATCACACATAAAACACACACCCCTGATAGAGGACTGAAAATTAAAATAATAATAATAATAATAACAAGGCAAGAAGTGATATCAAGCACAAAAGTTGGTTCTGAAATCATACATGAGCATGGAGGTACATAAGCCCAGATACTATATCTCGCACATACTTCCTAGCAGTATCTTCTCCAATGCCTCCAGGAGGACCAGAACCCTCGCAAACCCATTTGCCTTCCACATATTCAAGAACTGAACAAAAAGAAAGGCACTGGCAGTCAATAATAAGATTAACTCAATGACTCTTTTAAGCACATAATTTTGGAACAGAAAAAAAAAAAGGAAATACAAATACCCATGTAGAATTGATCCGTGCTTGGGTCATCAATCACCTCAATGAGATTAACTATATTGGGATGTTCCATCATTTTCATAATTAGAACCTGCAAGGGAAATGGATAAGACAAATATGGCCACTCATAAAAAAAAAAAACATGTCAACAGAAGACAATTAAGGCAGCTCTCCCCACACAAACCTAAACTCCTTGACATTCGTTCACTATCCCTCTTTTCTACAAGGAAATTAACCAACTAGTGTTACAAATTCACTCTCCTTTTCCCCACCTCTTAGTGGATGGCAAAATAACAACACCAACATATTAAACCATCAGCTTAGTATTTTGCTCACTTACACGTTGAGTTTCCATTAAAAGAAAACAAAAGAGTTGGAGACTGAGTTGCTTCCAATTTATTTATATATATAACAAAAAGAAAATTAAAAACAAAAAGTACTGCAGGAGGGTAATGGCCTTTAAATATGAGAAAAAAAAGAACCAAATTAGACAAGGATAAAAGAGTAAAATAAGAACACAGTTGATGAGCTCTCACCAACGCTGTGACCACACACAAATGTAACAATAACTCCCATATTTCTCCCCACTCTGCACAGTTCTGTTCATTTTTGTTTGTCTTTGCTTTTTTCCATCTTAATACTCCCATGATGTGGAAGTGAAAATAGTACTAGTGGAATAATAAAGCAGCACATCTACTCCCGAATTCTACCCCAAGCATTCATTTTTTTTTGCTACTATAAAGAAAATAGAGTAAATTGCAAATTTCATTCTTAAAGATTGACTTGAAACCTTAATTTAGTCCTTACAGCTATCCTATAACAAAGTTAGAGACTCTTCTTAAAATTGTGGTCATTCCCATTCTGGCTAACCATCATCAAAGTGGGGGCAAATTATATTTTTCAACATGTAGAGAATGAATGGAGAGTGGAAGAAAGTGTTTGATTATGGAGAAACTAAAATACTAATTCATAAACTGCTGGAATATACACCCAAGCAATGGATGTAATTTAATCAAAAGTTAACCATGAAAATCGCAATTTACTGAAGGAACTGTGCTGACATGTTTGAACTTAACAAGAAAATAAGGAAACAAATAGACTAATCTATTCTAAACAGAAGGTATAAATATAATAACAGACTTCATATGGCTTTAAGGGAAATAAGAAAGCTTTGAATGCCCAAAAAGTGCAAAGTCTGATACAACATAAATATGAGCCGTTATATCGGGGAAAAAAAATTATCAAGCCAATACCTCGCGAAGAACATCAGTCATTGCAGTCTCTGATGGAGCAACTCGCAGCTTTAATAAATGAGACTTATGAAAGGCCTGTAGATTAAATATAAAAATAACTCATGATTGCAAGGTGAAACCTTATATTGGCATAAAATCGCAATAGATCCAGAAAACACAAAATATCATATAACCTATAAGAACAAAACAAATGATAAAATGTTTCTCTAATTTTAAATGCTTCAACTTTTCTACCCAAAAAAGAAATGCAGCTCCAAGTGGAGTCAGATTAGCCACATAAATACTGAATTGGAATTCCCTGAAAACATTTGTTCTCAGTTGTTACTGCCATTTTTACCCTCAAAGCAAATGCTTATGTATTGAAACAAGCTACTAACCTTAATAGCATACTGTTTTCCATCTACACTGTTTCGATATAGAACCTGCCACACAAGCAAACAAAATAGGTAATATTGATTCCTTTATGCAAATTATTTAACACAGTGTCTTTCAGAGATATTCTTACCACTTTTCCATAGCTACCAGAACCAATCTTGCATTCCCGCACATACTCATTAACCATCTTATTCCCATTTTCATCCTGAAAATGAAGTCAAGATTTCAAAACTTAAAAAGCATAAGAGACAAACACACAACAAAATAAGATTGCTGGTATAACTACCTAATAAGAAGCACACAAGATATCTCACTTGCTGACACACATCCACAAGACAATAATATTAAAAAACATGACGTTATTCAGTGACAATGGAGGGCATAATAATTCATTTCTACATTACCTCCGAACGAATAATCTTGTTTGTTTCCTTGACAGGAAATTGCCTGCAAATCAATCCATTTTTGAGCTTGAACCTCAAGATCTCTTCAGAACGCTTGGCATGGCTTAAAGACTCAACCTCATCTCCATGAGCAGTGCTGGTAATCTCACCAATATATGAACAATCATCCTCTTCTATTTCTTCATCTAACAAATTCTCCTGGGACATTTGAAAGCTCGTCCTGCAATCGGACCTTGGCAACCGTTTGGGTTTTGCAGTGAAGCCAAAGCAACCGCAACAGCCCATTGATCTAGCAAATGAAAAGCCCTTACTAAACATTATAACACTGAAAACCTAGAAAGTAGTAAATTATAGCTCTTAGCACGATGAACAACAATTCTTCAACCTGCAAATCAAGCATAAGCATAGGTAAATAGACCACCTATCATGAAATTGCCCATATTAAGATTAAAAGTAACTCAAATACACACAAAAACATATAAACTTGAGCTCCATTAGGTGTAATGCACATTCAATCCTAATTGATTCATTTAGAAGCTAGAATCATGCAATTTTTCTACTAAAAAAGTTTTGATTTTTCCATTAAAATCGCATTTGATAAAAAATAATGCTATTAAAATATAAATTGTTGGGTATAATTCAAAATAGTAACATCGCGAGGCAATAAAGGAACAATCAAATGGAACCTAAAATATAATAAAATTCAAATTACCTGATTTGAAAAAGGAAGGAAGGAGGGATAAATAAAAGAGGGCTTGAAGCCCTAATCAGATATGTTATTGCAAAGGATGCCATTCAGCCAAATGAAAGAAGCAAGTTTCAACATTAAATCCACCGCTATTTCCAACCAACATCGCTAAACCTCCACTAAATTTTTACTTTGACCTTTTTCTCCTCAAATACATAAAGGTAAACAGTAAGACGACGGCGAAAAAGAAAAAGGCCTCCTTAAAATCAAAATTTAAAGACGTAACGTAAAATTTGATGAAAAATTTAGCGAATTGAAAACCCTATTTCAGGGAATTTGAACTGTGAAATTCCACCACAATTTCGTATTTAGTTTTTTTTTTTCATCAAATACAAATACGAATCAGAGAAATCAGAAATTTAAATTCCCTTTAGATTTTTTTTTTTTTTTGACTTTTGGGTGAAGGAGGACAGGGGAAGTGTTGGCACAAAAATACAGGGGAAAACAAATTTTTTTTTTGGATGCCAACTAGAAAACCATGTGTTCCTGTTAAAATTGCGAGTGTTTTTGGGAAGTTTCCGCTTTTTTTTTTTTTGGGGGGGGGTTGGGCCGCTGATAAATCGAACCCCGACCTGTACAGTATTTCCAAACAACCTTTGTAGCAAAATAATTTTATTTTTATTTATTTATTTTTTAAAGATAAACCTTTGCATGGTAACGTAATATTAGAGTTAACTTTCGAAAGTTGTAAATTTAAAAGAAATTATGTGTAAAAAATTCTTTTCAATCAAACAAGATTAAGAGTAGAAGTTTAAGTATAGATTAAAAATAAATAATTTTTTTTAATATTTTAAACAAAAAATTTTAATAATTTTATTTTTCCACTTTTCCATTGTGTTCCGAATTTGTTTTTGAGAATTTTTATTTGCACTTTAAGAAATACTCTTTACACCATATTTTTAATTATAAAAATATATTTAATAAGATTATTTAATTAATTTTTAATGAATTATCTTTCAATTCTTTATCCACTTATTTTTATTTCTTTTTTAGTCTTTAAATTTATAATTTCAAAAACCTTTAAAAACGTTTTGATTTATATTTCTAAAAGTTTTATTTACACTTTTTAAAAACTTTCAGTTTTATATTTTTTTTATAATTTTTAAAATTTATATTTTTCCATACCTTTATAAGCTTTTGAAAATATAAATTCAAAAGCTTTTAAAAATTTAAAAAATATAAATTTAAATAAAACTTACGATTCCACACACAATCTGAAAATGAAAAGGGGAAAGTGGAGAAATGACGTGGAGGGTATTTGTTAAATAGTAAAAATGTAAGAAATTGAATGTGAAAAGCAAATTTGGAGGTGCATTTAAAAGTTACCTAAAGTTTTTTATGTAACGGTGGGCAGTGGGGGGCTGCTGTGGAATACGACAAAACAGCAATAGCCTCCGATTTTTTGTACTTTCAATTATCCTTCGATTGGTTCACATTTCGGCTGCTGAAAAAAAAAAAGAAAAACCGTAGGGAAAGAAGAGAGAGTTCCGTTGCTCGACGTCTCTCTGTCTCTCGTCGAGTGAAATAACTAAGCATGGCCGTCGTCGGAGTATTAGCTTTACAGGGGTCTTTCAACGAACACATAGCAGGCAATAGTCTCTAAACTCTGATATTCAGAATGTTTATTGATGAGTTTTTTTTTTTTTTTGCTGAAAATATTAGTACTAATTTTTTCTTTTTTTGACAGCGTTAAGGAGGCTAGGAGTGAAAGGAGTGGAGATAAGGAAGCCAGAACAGCTTCAAAGTATCAGCTCGCTTATCATTCCTGGTGGAGAAAGCACCACCATGGCTAAGCTTGCGGAGTTTCACAATCTTGTATTCTCTTTCTCTCATCATTTTATATTTTTTTGGCCTAGGCCAGAAGCTATCATTTATGGGCTTACAATTGCTATCATCTAAGTATAAGAGATTGGATTCTGATTCATTTTGATAAAATGGGTTCTTTTTGTTTTTCCTGAATTCTGGTTTTAAAAACCATAGAATACCCAAGAAGCCGTTTGCTTGTTGTGGTTGCTGGCTCTTTGCTAGTATTTAAAAGCAAAAACAAAATTTAGCTTTTTACTAGTATTTAAAAGCAAAAACAAAATTTAAGATTTAAGAACATTTTGGTTAAAAAATGAGTAAATAATTAGAATGAAGTAATAATTTAAACAAAGATTTCCATAATTAGGAAATTCATGGAATTTATCATCATGAAAGTTCAAATTTTAAATTTTTATTGTTTGCTTTTGTATCCAAAGTCCAAACACACTTTTTTTTTACTTCCAAAAGCACAAAAGAAAGTAGTAAAAGTAACAAAGAAACAGAGCCTAAACAGTCATTACTTGCAGTTTGAGTATCATTAAATTTATGCTTTTATTTTCACTTTTCGATTCAACCAAGCCATTTTTTCAAGTACTTAGCACTAAGTAGTTAGAAGATAATATGTTCGGATAGGTAACTATTGGAATGATAACTGTTTTGGCCATTAGAAGGTAAATGTGGCATAAGATAGGGGAAACTTTGGTGGTTTTGGTCATGTGCATTCTGAATTTTGAGATACTTTGGTACCCAAGAGTGACTTTGTTTGATTTAGGTAAAAGTGTTGAAAGAATATATAGCGAAAGACTCAGCATACAAGAGAAAGAATTACTAAAACTGACATTGATTGAGTTGTTCATAGTGATTAAATGAGTTCTTTGCAAAGAGTGAATGACCAACCAACCAATTTATTTCCTGTGTCATTTCTGAAGATAAAACATTCGGAGTCTCCAATCTCGTCTTGATCTTGATTATCTGTTTAAATGTACTCACAAGATCTAAAAATTTTATTATGCACGAGTTAGTTCTTGCAGTTTTGAAAGACCTCAATTGATTTCCTGTGTGTCTCTTTTGCATTTATTTGGTTAATATATTTCATTTCTGGTCAGTTTCCATCTCTGCGTGAGTTTGTGCAAATGGGGAGGCCAGTTTGGGGTACTTGTGCAGGTCTTATATTTTTGGCAAACAAAGCTGTTGGTAGGTTTCTGTTCTTTTGTTTCTCCTCCCCTCCTTTTGGATTCTGATACTAAATTTGCAAAGTATACCTTTTGCACCAAGCAATTTTCAGAAATGAGATCATTCAAAAGGTTCTGAATTTCAAATTAGTGATGCAACTTTTTCAGGACAGAAAGAAGGAGGACAGGAATTAGTTGGGGGCCTGGATTGCACTGTCCATAGAAACTACTTTGGCAGTCAGGTAATTACATATGCCTTCTATTTTACTACATGTCCAATGATGCTTGTAAAGTGTATAGAGTTTTGTATTGCACTGGTTAGTTGAACTTGCCTTTCTCCTAAAGTTGTGTAGAGATTAGTGAATAATGGAAATTTAAATGTCAAAAAGACATGCATTTAGTAGATGGAAATCCAGAGAAGTGCACAATTTCCATGTTTGCTAATCCGCATTTGAAGATACAAATATGTTATTTGTAGAAAGGCACTCACAGAACATGGGTCCAAAACCTCAAATAATAGTGGGATTCTTTAAAGGATTGTAGGTAATGATGATGCTATAATTGTGTGTGGATCTATTAGAGATGTCTATGTCAAATGGGTAGGGGAAGACCTGAGGAGTCTTAAGACATGGATGAAAACTATCCAAAAAGACCTTGCTTTTACCAACTTCAATAGGATATGGTAGTTGAACTCCATATTGTGACTGAAGGCTCTGCTTGTTGGAGGAGTTGTTATTGCTTGAAGATACCATCTTTTTTCACTGTCCTATCTGTGCTGGTAAACTTGCTTAAATAGGTTTGTCAACTACAACGAGTATTGAAATATAGACCTTTAACAAAACAGTGGCAGCAATTTTGCAGAACATGTTATAATCAGAATTCTGTCTTGTAAATAAATTGATAACACTTTTGTTTTCTTATATCTTGAAAGTAGAATCCTCTTTTAGTTACTGAAATGTGATATCACTTTTACAGTTATGAATATGAGTTCAATAACCTCCTATCTTTGTCTTTCAATTTGATTTTGGTTTAAACTCTGATTGTACTAAATTTTTTGTTATTTAACAAATCAATATATTTAGATCCAAAGCTTTGAGGCCGAGCTTTTAGTACCTGAACTTGCATCCAAAGAAGGTGGCCCTGATACATTTCGCGGTGTTTTCATCCGTGCTCCTGCAATCCTCGAAGTGGGGCCAGAAGTTGAAGTGCTGGCTGATTATCCTATTCCATCAAAACAAGTGCTATACTCGAGTTCAGCTGTTGAAATCCAAGAGGTATGTTCACACTCTTTCTGTTCATTACAATAATTGAAAATAAACAATGAAATTTTATTGGCATTGCATCAATTGTAGGAGGCTGGATTTAATAATTGTGCTTTCCAAAACTTTTATGTATGATTGGTCGCAGATCTATTTTGTTTATTTATTTCTATAGTTAAAATGTTAGCCACATAGGTTGAAGTTTAATGCTCTTTCATCTTTATTATAGATCCAGCAAGTATTTTAATTTTGTAAAATGTGGTATATACAATTAAGACTTGGGAATTTCTTTATTTTGAACTTCCTATCTTGCTTTAGAAAGCTTAACAAGAACTAGTATCAATTTGAATTGAAAAGTGGGCTGCAGATTGTAACAATGGACAATTTTGTAGCCTTGCCTATGCTAGATACAACGTGCTCTAGAACAAGATTATACCATCTTTTATTGTCTCTTTACCTTTCAGCCGTATTACTTCTTGTTATCTAAATTTTTGGGTGTTTCAGGAGTATGCTGTGCCTGAAAAGAAAGTGATAGTTGCTGTAAAGCAAGGAAACTTGCTAGGGACTGCTTTCCACCCTGAGTTGACTGCAGACACTAGATGGTATAAGATGTTAACCGTCCATTGAAATTATCATTTTTCTTATGATCTTATCTTAGGTTCTAAATGGATTTTCTTTTTTTGGTTGCTAAGCCGAGGTACTAAATTGGTTGCTGTGCAGGCATAGTTACTTTTTAAAGATGGCAAGCGAAGCTGGAGAGGAAACATCGAATACAATTGTTGCAGTCAGCAGAGTGAGTCCAAGTTCTGACCAACAAACAAGATATGATCTACCTATATTTCAATAATCAATTTCGGCAATGATATTATGTGTCTTTTCAGTTTTGTTTTCTTTCTATTACTTCCTGTTCTGTTTTCTCCTCATTGCTTAATAATGTCTCCGCGATTGTGAATGTTTAATATCTTTCAAAAGGTTGGTCTCTATTTGATTTAGGTGAAATTTAGTTTCGAGACAGATAAAAATGTTTGGTCCTATATGGTAAATATAATTTATACTTTTCATCTGTTTCTTGAACTAATATGTAGCTTTATTTAGGCTCTGATTAATCGATGCTCTTGCTATTTGCTCAAGTGACACACCCTCTTTGCACCTTTTACTATCATTATAAGAAGTCATAGGGAAAATACATTACTTTCCCTAAAACACTATATCAGCGAGATTGTTTACTGTAGTGATAAAATTAAAATCAGTAAGTGGGAATATGTGTATGAACGCAAACACATTGGTAGTGGTGAGATTGAGTATCAAAGTTGACCGTCTGATCAACACCAATCCATTGACATAATTGAAAATTTTCTTTTATTTCAATTTTACACTAATAAGACATTCGACCATCCCTAGGATTCAATGAACCATTGAATCCTTTATCATGACTGAAGGAACTGTACAGTTGAAAATTCTCAACCTATCCAAATACATCCCACAATACTGTTAAGGGAAAAAAATGCACCCTAAAGCTTCTTGCTGATGTTTCAAAGCCCACATTTTCAACCCTTTATTGTTGGTCCTGTTTTTGATAACCATGGCAAACTCAGCACAAGATTTTTTACAATGAAAAAGACTGGGATTGCCTACACCTGATCCATAACCAGTAACAACCCTAAATCTCATGTTCTCTCCATCACCGAAGAGTCTGTTAGGTCGCCAAACCATGTTAGATGTTGCTCTATTGAGTCACAGTCCCATCAGTTCGTCATCATTTTGTTTTGTCGAACCAAACTTATGTTTGTAAACTTCACAGGTGACAGACCCCATCACATTTGTATGATCTAATAAGGAGTAAAGTAATAAGAGGTAACCAGCGACAATTATAAAATTATTATGAAGCAATGATAAATATAATCTTACCAAATAAAAAATATATAAAAGACATATGGTACTGATTTTCTCGTCTTCTTCCTCTTCTTGCACAACAAAAACGGGTATTAAAAAATTCTCAGTTTTCTTTTTTGATATATGCATGAAGATTTTGATTAAAATACGTTTTTTTTTTTATCTTCCCTACGAAAATTAAAAATTAATCACCCTTTAAGCAATAAAGAATTAAAATGATCTAGATGGGAATCATGTAACCGTTGGAACCGAATGGCTTGTGAATCATGAGTCTTTAAAATCATGCAAATTATCTTCCACAGGCGCATCACGCTTAGAACGCTTCATTATTACCATATAAAGGTATAAATGAATTGCATATTTCTGCTAGAGACATGTGTCGTCCTGTTAAAATTCTATTGTTTATGTACGCGATAATTTTTTTATTTAGATTTCAATAATTTGATGCAAGTAAAAACAAGTGATGAATAAAAGTTTAAAACTAATCCTTAATTAAAAAGTTTGGCAAAAAAATCCTTAATTGAAATTAAAAAAGAATTACAGTAAAAGTGGTAAGTGAAAAAGTGTCCAAAAGCGTAGAAGTGTCGAGGAATACCATCACTGTGTCATGGTCGATACTTAAATTTTAAATTCGTATAATTTTAAGACTTGAATATCCATTCATTCGACGTTTTATATCAGCTTTCTTATCACGGTTCATACTTTTGTGAGATATTGTTCGCTCTGACCCCCTAACCTCACGATTTTGTTCTACAAAAAACACCTCATAAACCAGAGATGATGTGAACCTTTTTATACCCCAGTGACTCTCTTATTATGTTCGATGTGAGATTCATGATTCTTCCTTAGGTCCGTGACATTCTCCCCCACTCAATTTCGTGACGCTCTTGTCATAGAAACTGGTCATCCTACCTACGTCCCTCGAGGGGCTTGGCGTAGATCGAACTGTTTAAGGCTGGCTTTGATACCACTTGTCACGGGTCGAGACTTAAGCTTCAAATCTGCATGGCTCTAGGACCCGAGCATCTACTCATTCGGAGTCCCATATCAGCCTTCCTGCTACGGTTTATCATCTTGTGGGGGTATTATTCGCTCTGATCTCTCTGACCTCATGATTTTATCCTATAAAAAGCGTCTCATAAAGCAGAAGTAGTATGAACTCTTTTCTATTTCAATGACTCTTTTATTATGTTCGATGTGAGATTCAAGACTTTTTTTTTAAATCCGTGATAACTGTGCTTGGTGTCTTGTATTGCATTAATATTTTGCTTCCATCTTTCAAAAAGCTGTTGTCTTTAAATGCTGGTTATCCCTTTCTTTTAAGATGCTTTCCTTAAAATGTTGGGAATTTCACATGTTATAGAAAAGGTTTTTCCGTTTTATTGTTCTTTTAATTTGCCCTTGAGTAATTCAGTTTCTGATAATAACCATTTGAAAATATGAAATACTCTATAATGGACAATAATTAATTTCAACAAATAAATGATGAAATTAGCATAGAAATTAAAATCAATAATTTTTTTTGAAAAGAATAATAAAAATATTTATAGTGTATAATCTCTGTAAATTCATTTTATTGATTTTAAATATGGATCCCTCCCCCAAGAAAAATGATAAGGGCCTTGGAAAATGCTTTTTGGCAGTCATGATTTATTAAGAAAATTAAACAAAAGAGGAAACACATTTTCAAACTCATATTTTATAGCTGATCATTAATTGAACATTTTCTAAATTTTTGAGGTAAAGCTACTTTACAATGAACTGAAGAAAAGTGATACAGCTATTTGGTCAAAACCCAAAACCTGAATCAATGCATACTCTTAAAAAGCTTATCCTTTTGCGATTTGTCACATGAAGGAAGCAAGGAATCACAAAATGTTTAGCCCAAAGTCCAAAGTCCAAACTCCAAGGCCTATTTCCTGCTGACATACCCCTTATAAGGGTTCATTTTGTACAACAATTTTCTCATCTCTCCTCCACTGATCAGTACCACCACTCCAAAATCCAAAGGAGGAGAAACAAACATATTTACTGTGTTTTAAAGATTCAATCGCTTACAAATAGATAAAGATGAAGTCGTATATTCTGGTGGTTCTATTTCTTATATTACGATGCACAGAAGCTGCCACGGTGCATGGTGATGGTCATAATGGTAAGGAGGGGAATGGAAACAACAACAAGAAGGACGATGGAAACCATGGCATTGGCAATGGCAATGACGAGGGAAAGAATAAGGGCGATAACAATGGAAATAATGACAGTGGTGATAAGAAGAAGAAACACGATGGTGAATTGGATTATGACAACTTGTCACCATCAGCGAGTGGGCAAGAACGACCATACTGCAAGGGGTACGGGGTTTGTTACCACAAGACCCTTATTTGTCCAACTGAATGCTCAGAGAGGAAGCCCAAGCAAAATAAGAAGCAGAAGGGGTGCCATATTAACTGCGGCAGCAAGTGCGAAGCTACTTGCAAGTGTAAGCATTTACTTAATTAAACCAATAACCATGCATCTATTTCTTCTCTTCTTAATTATATATATTTTATTAATATTGGGACTCATCGCTTACTGTCATTATACTGATTTTGGAGCTGCAACTGTGAGACATGGAAGAGTCCATTTGACTTGAACTGATTTTAAAAATAATGTTCTTTTATTTTATATTGTCAGGGAGGAAACCAAATTGCGATGGCTGTGGCTCACTCTGCTATGACCCTCGTTTTGTTGGTGGCGATGGGATTATGTTCTACTTCCATGGAGCAAAGGATGGAAACTTTGCCATTGTCTCAGATGATAACTTGCAGATCAATGCTCATTTCATTGGCATTAGACCAAAGGGGAGGACTCGTGACTTCACATGGGTGCAAGCCTTGGGTCTCATGTTTGATACTCACACTTTTGTCATTGCAGCAAACAGATTTTCTCATGGCGATGACAATGCTGATGCTCTCAGTGTAAGGTGGGATGGCGGGACGGTTAACATACGAAGGAAAGGCTGAATGGAGGACTAGCAGTGAGGAAAGGGAAGTGATAGTAGAAAGTATAGATGACAAAAACTGTTGGTAGTTTAGAACGTGGTGTATCTCACGTTGAGTAAAAAAATCACTTATAAATAATTTAAAAGAAATTACTTATATTATTTAAGTAATTGAGTTAAATGTTGAAATGAGCCAAGTCATTTGGACTTACTAGGAGTTTTCCTAATAGGTTGGATAATTTTAAAAATCAAAGATGAACATTTAAACATGTTTGATAAATAAATTTAATTTTTAAATTATTATTATTATTTTTTTATTTATTTCGAAATATTATTGATTCTGAATAAATATGCTTGAATAATAAAAAACATGATTATTTAAATAAAATTTATTTAAACAATAAAATATAACTATATAAAATGTCATGATTTTTTTAATTGATTTGATTAATGTTTATTTATTATAAATAAATTTTTCTATCTGATCAATTTCATTGCTTTTAATTTAAAAAATTTTAAGACTTTGTTGTATCTTATAAACATAATTATTTTTAAGACATTATTATTCACGCTTCAAAATCATATTTCTTTCTTTCTTACTATTTCTGTTTTTCTTAAATCTACTAACAAAAACAGTGTTAGAGTCACAGTATTGAACTGGTGGACATAGACATAAGGGTAAGACCAATTGGCAAAGAAGAAAACCGGATTCACAACTATCGGTTACCAGATGATGATGCCTTTGCTCACTTGGAAACCCAGTTCAAATTCACCAACCTGAGTGATCTTGTTGGAGTCCTGGGAAAAACTTACCAGCCGGATTATGTTAACCCTGTCAAGAGAGGGGTGCCTATGCCAATGGTGGGTGGTGAAGACAAGTACCAAACCCCATCCCTCTTTTCACCTCTCTGTAAGGCTTGCAGGTTTCAGAGGCCATCAGGATCAGTTGCTACCAAGCTGATAATAATCAAGAGAACAAATGTATATGTCAATCTTCTTGTTTTGCGTGCCTGTTTTTGGTTATTTAAACAAATAAGGGCCATATGAAAATTGCCCATTTCTTAATACTGAAATATTCTTGCGGGGAAAGTGCTTTGAACTCTTTCTTTTGATCATCTTCGTATTTTTATTCAAGAAAAAAAAAAGTAAGAACAATGAAAGTTTCTGGCTGTACCTGGCCTTTAAGCCCTTAAAGATTTCTTAGTTCTGAAATCCTCATATTCAAAGCAACTTAACATCTAATTTAAACAGGCAATGTTTAAAGTAGTTAATTATCAGAAAAAAAATATTGTCCCTTAAACGCCAATTCCTACCTTTGACCATACCGACAGAGGTTCGGTCGGCAATCTAATTAAACGCAATATATTGCAGAAATCAGAACACCAAGAAATCGTAACATCAAAAGATTAAACCATACATATATGCAGGAGAAAATACAAGAGTGAAGATGCTACAACTTTATCAGTTCTTAGCATTTAGTCTGTTTTTGGTATTTAAGCTACTGTTTCTGTATCTTATTAGTGGATCAGAATGGTCTTGAAGATTGACATGAAATGCCCCACTTGGTATGACATTCTCTTACAACAACCCACATTTTCAACAGGTGCAGCATGAACCTATTGTTTGATGCATAATTTCCCTTTGACTTTGAGTGTATGAATTTCTCTTTGATTTAATGCAACTTGTATAGTAATTAAAAGCTTTTCTCAAATCTCAAGTGAAGATTATTTAAGTTTATTCATAACATTAGAAGGTTGTAGCCGTGTGGAGTTTGGGGGT